TATGAACCTCCATAGTTTACTAAGAATTAAGTGGATGCACTGTTTCATGTCATAACTCAAACTCAACTCACTTTATTTACCTTTTTTCAAAACATAGAATAACAAAAAAAAACATATGATTATAATTAACAGAAATTAACAGGTGTTATGAAATAAACTGTTCTCACAACAGTAGTACAGCTGTTGATTAATAGCCTATACAGCCAATGGCAACTATGGGACCCACAGTTTATAGTGGAATCCGAACCACATTTTTCATTAACTATCTGCCGTTTTAACAACTATATATCAAATGTTGTGACCCCATATTGCACGAAATAAAATATACATGTATTTTAGTATTTTGTTGTTTATTTGGGCAATATATAGGCATAACATGTATTTATAACTTTAAATAATTTTATCGTTGACACATATATAAATGACTGGCGTTACATTTTCTGTAAAACATGGTAAAACTATGCAGTATCGTAGTCTAGGTGGTAAAAAGAAAAACATTTGTTGTTACACAAAATGTAGCCTAACACTATGCAGCAAAATGCGCTCAACCGGTATTACAACTTAGCAACACTTGCAGCAATGAATATATATGGATCCATATCAAATGGGGCCTAACATCAGAGATGAATTTGTATGTACTTATGAACTGTATGTACTTTCATGTCCAAGAATTGGTTAACGTTTCTGGCTAACGTAATTGGTTAACGTTCTAATCTAAAGTAACTTCTTATATTTCTACAACATTTTTTTTATGAAACTTATATTTCATACAAATATTTGTTAGGCTTATTATTGGTTAAACCAATCAAATCTCTAATTTAATTCGAGTGTTTATGATAGAGCGTAAATGGAGTTATGAAACTTGTAGCATTAATAAAATCGTACCATTTTAGCTTGTAGCATATCTTTCCTATTTCCAATTTTGCCAGCTGTATACTTCATAACTTGTAATACAATGAGGCAAGCTTTGAGGAATTGAAGACTGTTCTGAGCAAACGGATTCACTAAATTATTATTAAATAAAATACTTAGCCATGAGAAATACCACTAAATATCAATAGATATATTTTAATAAACACATTAGCTATGTAAATGAATTTAGAGTTTTCGATTTTACCACCATACCCGCTGCCAAAAAATGACTGCTCTGAGTTCTCAATGTGGTTTATTAAAAAAATATTGTAAAAAACCTTGATCAGCATCAATGGTTTATATGTAGATTTTGACTCTATTCAGATACACGTATGTTTAATATATGTTATATATTGAATAAAGACTATTTGAATCTTGAATATTTGAATCTCGAATGCTAGTAAATTATGTAAATCTGGTTAAATAAATGAATTATGACTTAAGAGTAAAAAAAAGAAATAGTTTAGTTTATTGAAGCGTTGTTGCATGTCTACCGGTTAAGGATATATAAGAAATTTCCAAGTTATTCTTAAGGATAATAACAAAACTGTTTTAGTTTTATTGTTCTCGGATTTTACTTCAATCAAATTAGGTAATTTTTGTTTATTTCATACTGCTTAGCCAACAACCTTTCAAAACAAAAACGCACCGAAATTACCTTCCCCGTAGCAGCAAACCCGAGTAGGTATTCATTGAAATATCAAAGAATAAACACTTAATTTTAACACCTAACTTTGTGTGTAATAAAATTCTACACAGAAACAGGTACTTTTCCATCCTGTGGATGGGAAGTTACCCTTTGCCATGCCTACACACGGAAAAGTTACGTAATGTACTTTTACGCCACACTACATTATTTTGACGAACTTCCCACGCAAGGATTTAGTCCAGAAAACAGCTGTTTGCCGCCGGCTTATTCAAATGGGGTTTCATTGCGTACTACTGTACTGCAATGAGTTTTACGCCACACTACACTATTTTGACGAACTTCCCACACAAGGATTTAGTCCAGAAAACAGCTGTTTGCCGCCAGCTTATTCAAATGGGGTTTCATTGCGTACTACTGTACTGTAATGAGTTTTACCGGACACCAATCAGCTGATTATACTGTATTTAGGTGGCAATGAGTGGTTATAAACATTGAGATATATAAACAAAAACATAACCTCTCATGACTAGTGATTTTTAGTCCTTTAGTTGGTGGAAATATATAAGGATTTGTACAGATTTAGTAGTATGGCGTAAACTATCGTACGTAACTCGTCCAAAATGTGCGTACCGGACTCGTATGGTAATCCCTCGACTTCGTCTCGCACGGGAACGACCACACTCGTCCGGTAAACACTTATTTTCAGGACTAGTAACGTAATATACTATTACGCCAGACTACATTATTTTGACGAACTTCCCACACAAGGATTTAGTCCAGAAAACAGCTGTTTGCCGCCAGCTTATTCAAATGGGGTTTCATTGCGTGATACTGTTCTGCAATGAGTTTTACCGGACACCAAACAGCTGATTATACTGTATTTGTGTGGCAATTAGTGGTTATAAACAAAAACATAACCTCTCTCAGAGGTGATGACTAGTGATTTTTAGTCCTTTAGTTGGTGGAAATATGTAAGGATTCGTACGGATTAAGTAGTATGGCGTAAACTATTGTACGTAACTCGTCCAAAATGTGTTTACCGGACTCGTATGGTAATCCCGTACTCGACTTCGTCTCGCACGAGAACGACCACACTCGTCCGGTAAACACTTATTTTCAGGACTAGTAACGTAATATACTATTACCGGACACCAATCAGCTGATTATACTGTATTTAGGTGGCAATGAATGGTTATAAACAAAAACATAACCTCTCTTAGAGGTTATTACTAGTGATTTTTAGTCCTTTAGTTGGTGGAAATATATAAGGATTTGTAGGGATTTAGTAGTATGGCGTAAACTGTCGTACGCAACTCGTCCAAAATGTGTGTACCGGACTCGTATGATAATCCCGTACTCGACTTCGTCTCGCACGGGAACGACCACACTCGTCCGGTAAACACTTATTTTCAGGACTAGTAACGTAATATACTATTCCCGTGTACTTAGTCAGCTGTTGCTGTTGAAATAAACAGCTAATTTTAGCGGCCTATTTTATTTTTTGAAATATAATATATGTTCTGTCCTAAATAAATTGTGTTATGAATGAGTTAAATATGTACTGATTTTTCTGTGTAGTATGATGTAAAGTATCGTGTTACTCACCCGGTACTATAGCTACCGTACTCGCACGAAAATCCCGCACTCGGCTACGCCTTCGGTGAAACACCTTACCGGGCTAGAATACTCTAGTAACCAAATACAGTAAGTAGGCATATACTATTTCTTTATACCAACTGCATTTAGACAAGGTGTTTACGTTTCCTAAGCAGCCATTACAGTTTACAAGTAGTGGTTTGTGTGTTTGAAAATACTGTTACAACTCTATGATTTATTTTAAATACCCCCTCCCTCCGCAGCAAACCTGCAGACTAAACGAATTTCCATTTGCTTGATTGGATTTACATCATCTCCTTAAAATATCACAAAATTATTCCCTAATTTAAATATAGCATTAGTTTAACAAGTACTTAGGTCTGTTGCAACAGGTAGGGTTTAAAAGAGGTTTAAAAAATGTTATTACATGTAGTTTAGTATGAAATAAATGCATTTTCAAAATTTGATCAAAATATGTTCATAAACAAGCTAACTACAACAGTTTACTTATTCTCCATAAGATTAAACATAGGGATTTTAAACTGTTCGAGTTTTCTCCGTAACCAGTAAGCGCATAATAATGCTTCAATATACTAAATAATTTGTTTTTTTAACTCTACAAAATAGTTTGGAAAGAAATTTGCAAAATGTTATGTTGTCATTACTTTTTATGGATCGCCATATTGGCAATGGAAAGGTTAACAAAAGAATCAATGCATCTGCAGTTTGTTTAGGTAAATTAACGCAGTTTTTACATTTCCTCATTTCCGGTGTAAGTTGCCGATACAAATGTACTACAACTCATTTAATATTTCAAAGTGTAACAATGAACAACGTAAAATCGTTATTTGGGTTAATCTGTTTGTAACACTAAGCTATTAAGTTAAATGAAAACTATGTATATCCATTATAAATTTCAAATTAATTTCTGATTGAAAAAACGTTGGATGGATACCATAACTAACTATCCTCAAGCAAAGTTTGGCCTAGATAGCAAGTTTTAACTACTTTCTTGCACGAAAAAAACAGTATAATAAATCACAATACAAGTGTGAAAAATGACAAATTATTGTAAAGCCTTCAAACGGCAGAACACAATTGATATACACAAAATAGTTGAGATAGCATTGACAAATTTGAAGGAGACTGCAGCTGCAGGCGCCGTGGATAGAAGTCGTTCGGAGTTTAAAAAAGAACGAATCTTATTCTGGACTCAACCGAGCTGTTCAGCAAGAGCTGTTCACCTTCTATTTGAATCTCCCGCTCTTTGTCGATCTGTTTTGCTTGTCGACATTTTGCGTGTCGATAAAGTGGGAAAATTTACACAACCGTCCCACATAACAGACATCCCACATAACCGACATCCCACTTTACAGACATCCCATATTACCGACACTGTCGACATTTTGAGTTGTCGACATTATGGGACTATTTCAGTGTCGATCTTTTGGGATGTCGATAAACTGGGACCCCACGATAGTGAAGTGGTCACGATACTCATTCTTACAAATATTTTTACATAAAAACCTTTCCCTGGCATCTAAGGAACACAAAAAAAGAATCATCCAATTCAGTGCACTTAGTCGTTCACGAGTTATGGATTGCCGTAAAAAAAGGGATTCATTTTTATTTTTTTATATTTATTGTAGTGCAATAAACTATTTTATTTGAAATAGTTTAATCTCTTAATCTATGACCATACTATGAATGAGTTGCAACAAACTGAACTACAAAGCTTCACGGGATATTTTATTGCTGATACTTTTCAGACTGCTGTCCTGTAATAAAAAATAACAAACTTAATAGTAAACAAACAAACGTTTTTGAATAATTAAGATTGAGGTTATGTAGGACTTAGAAGAGGTTGACGTTCTCTCTTCATTTTAAATGATGAGTCAAATTTTATTGCGAAGATGATTTCTATTAATGTTTCGTTTAAGTTTACGCTTTTGATTAGTTGGTACTAACAAGAATCTCTCATTATCCTGAATCTGAAGATGAGGAAGAATTCACAAACGAAAATAGTTGGATCAAATGTGATTCTTGTCCCTTACAGAAGAATCCATGTACCAAAGTAAGATGGCTAAAGCCACAGAAAACATACTATGTTTTCTGTGCTAAAGCTCATTTTTCTCCTAACATGGGTACACTTCATATCTGTCGGCACAAACAACCGAATGAAAATATCGATCGATTATTCGATATATCGTTTGGTTAGTTAGGTAAGGTTAATCTAACCTAACTAACCAAATGACATATCAAATTAAACAATCGAATAATCAATATTACTCATTCGGTTGTTTGTGCCAAAAGATATGGAAGTGTACCCCCTAACAGTATACATAAGTCTTAACAAATATAACTAGGCCTATATTAACTTAGTAAAGCGTCCAATGATATATAGGCCTAAGCAATTTAGGGCTAGCCCATTTGACGTACAGTATGCTAGAAACATTGATAGCAAGCTATAACAATTTCCACGAACCCTTTTGTATAAGTTACAACTTACTTTGATGCTACTTTATATTACATTTCTGTTGTTTTTTCTAAGATAGTCTATCAATTAGCTAGCCTGTATAGGCTATGTGTACATTGCCACCAAGGCGTATGAAAGTGTTATATCTTATTCGTCGTGTTACATATTGCCTCGACATCAAACATTAAATACAGTAATAATAAAGCCTTAGACTAAGGGAAGCATTATCTTAGAGCATTAATGTAGAATTATCTTTCATACGCCTTGCATTGCCACAGGCAGGGCTGGAAGCAGGCTGAACTAGGTTATGATGGACTGACATAGACTCTGGGATTGCAGTGACTGGATTCGTAATTGAGTTTTTCGTTCAAAATTTGTGCTGCTCTCCCGCTAGGCCTAGTTTTATGTATGTATTTGTAAATTTTGAATTCATTCCTAGTAAGTTAGGTACCTATTTGATGAAATGTTCTACTAAAGTAAGCATGGTTTACTAACTGAGAATAAAAATATATTATATTTTGGCCGATAACCCTAGGGCTCGGATAATCAAGAGTGTACTGTAGATTGATACCATCATTAATTTATAGCTGAAAGACAAACAGAATCTCCAGAATTTATGTTGCTTTGAAGTTAACCAATTACCTTTGGATTTGAAAATGAGCACTCAGTTATAAGCACTTGGCTACCCAGACAATTAGGATTTAGATGTTGAAATAACCGCTGTCTTAAGAAGTGATTTAAATGACTGTGTCACAGGTATCACTGTTGGATGCAGTCTAAAGAATTACAGGAGCTCACCGCTTCAGAGCCTTTAACAGAAGAAGAGGAGTTTGAGATGCAGCAGAGCTGGCTGTGTGATGAAAACAGTAAGTTTACCCAAAGCGTTGATTCATTTTTGGTCTGGATTAATGAATAATATTTTATTGTCCTAGAAATACCCTGTTTGCCTGTGTCTGAAAGAAAGCAAATTCATAAAAAAATGTTTATCTTGATTAGCCTACGAATTAGCTTAATATTTAGCCTAACATACAAATGGACTCAACTCATTGTGAGTCCATTTGTTTGACTTTACAGATGTTACTTACAAAGTGTTCTTGTCCTTCCCCAAAATTTATCTGGGTACCTACAGTTTCTTAACTGAGCTATGCTAATATCGATTGAAACTATCGATTCGATTAATAAACTTTCATTAGATTTTTTCATTACCAGCAAGTTTGCTTGGTTAGGTTAGGTTATGACAACAGTTTAATTTTTATAATTGATATAATTTAGTTAAAAATATTGATTAAGTTATTAATCGATATTTTCAATTTGATAGTTTCAATGGATATTAGCATAGCCCAGTTAAGAAACTGTACACACAGGATTAATCAATATTATAGTGAAAGTTTGTTTGTTTGAAGTTTAATCACAGTGCCGGATTTACTACTAGGCCGATTAGGCCGCGGCCTAGGGCCGCAAGCAGAAGGGGGCCACAGAGGATTGAGAAAAACATTTTTTAGATACAAAATATTTTTTTTACCACCAGTTTGCAGCGATCACAGGTGACCATAATGATGTCTCCGCGGACCAAGGGAGATGTTCACGATTTTGCCACGGCCGCGGGTGACGGCACAGAAAACATACTATTATAACCTTATAGCATAAGGTTATATTAGTATGTTTTCTGTGGTGACGACGATGTGTCCTCATGATCGCAGCCCGCGGGAGACGTTCAAGAATTAGACGCTGTCGCGAGTTGTCCCCATGATTGCGGCCCACGGGAGACGTTCACGATTTAGCCGCGGCCGCGGGTGACGGCGATGTGTCCTCATGGTCGCAGCCCGTGACAGACGTTCAAGAATCAGCCGCTGTCACGAGTGTCGATGATGTTGTCCCCGTGATTGCGGCTCACGGGAGACGTTCACGATTTAGCCGCGGCCGCGGGTGACGGCACAGAAAACATACTCTACTGTACTATAACCTTATAGTATAAGGTTATATTAGTATGTTTTCTGTGGTGACGGCGATGTGTCCTCATGATCGCAGCCCGTGGGAGACGTTTAAGAATTAGCCGCTGTCACGAGTGTCGATGATGTTGTCCCCGTGATTGCGGCTCACGGGAGTTGTTTATGATTTCGGCACGACCGCGGGGGACAATTATGATGTCGTCATGATCGCAGTCCACCGGAGATGTTTTTAACACGACTTTGCCGCGATCGCAAGTGTCGATGATGATGTCCCCGTGATTGCTGCTTCGCGGGAGATGTCTACGATTTGGCCACGGTCGCGAGTGTCGATGATGATGTCCCCGTGATTGTGGCCCGCGGGAGATGTTCACGATTTTACTGTGGTCGCGGGTGACGGTGATGATGTCCTCAAGGTCAAAGCCCACGGGATATGATTTCGCCGCGGTTGTGACTGTTGAGGATTATGTCCCTTTGTTGCAGCCCGCGGGGGATGTTTACGATTTTGCCGCGGTCACTGATACCTATGATGGATTTGTCTTGGTTTAGGAGAGATGTCCACGATCACGGGTGTCGATAATGATGTCCTCTAGATGCATAGGAGATATTCACGATTATTTCCGCTATCTCAAGAAATTTCCACCACAGGGGGAGGGCCGCTCAAGTAATTTGGCCTAGGGCCGCAAGTACCCTAAATCCGGCACTGTTTAATCACCCATTAACTACTGGTCGGATTAAGCTGAAATTTTGTATGATGATAGCTCACATGGCGATTAACATATAGACATATCACTATCTCAAAAATCATTTCGGGCTCCGCCCCAGTGGCTTTGGAGTGTCCCATGTTAATCTTACATATTCATATCTAAAAGGAATTAAAGAATTTTGTCAGCTGTTTCAACTAGCCTACACAAGTTGGTTCTATGATATTCAATATCATTAAAAAGTCATAAGGTTTACCAATGTGGTGCAGCACTATTAATTTTTTTTGCATTGATGACTAGGTAAGTTAATTTCAGCTAAGCAGCGACAAAAAGCTGTGATACACAATGAACTGTCAACGTAGGAGTATTTACAGTTAAGTTTATGTTTTTAATTTATAAATAATCTTTTGATATTGTGCAAAATCTTTGATAGGCCCTAATTTAATTTTTGTTTGTTTAGGTGTAGTGGTAGAACATCAAAGCTAAACTTATGGTAGATGTGTTATACTATAGCATGCCGTAAATTAAAAGAACCAAATTTTCTCAAACCGTGTCCTCTCACATTGTAAATGCAAAACACGAGTATGCAATAAGCATTTTACACACCACATTTGTACGAAGGACAGGTATTCTGCTAGTTAGAATCAATTTTTTACTTTAATTTGGGTTTATAATCATGGGAACTAACAAAATGTATGCTCTGGCATTTTTTTGTTGTAAAATAAGATAAGAAGGAGACAACTTTCAGCTGTAAAGTAACCATTAATGTCTGGATATTCTGATTATTATAAAGTTGGAAGTTTGTGCTTTGTTTATTAGCGACACAAAATGTATATGGTGGTTTGTTGGAATTGTAAATTAAAAGACCCAATTTAGAAGTCTGAGAGAGCTAAATTTGAACTGTACAAATGTGGGTAGGCTATAATTTTTTTTCCTTAATTTCATTAAAACTTTTACTTGAATCAAATTACGGTATATTGACATAGAACGTTACATCAACAGTTTACAGCAGTAATTAGTACCTATTTCATCAACTCATTTTTAAACAAATATGAAACAGAGACCTAGTTAAAATATAAAATAGTTGTAGAAACAATTGGTAAAAATAGTCTCTTATTGTTCCAGAATGTACTTTCATAGTTTTAGAACGGAGAATATATGATGAGAACCAGAATGAGATAGGTAAGATGAGTTATTCTGCATTATGTCTATCAAACAAAATTGTTTGCATGTTAAACAATCTGCATGCATATATTTAAAAAGTTAAGAAAAATTATATGAAAAATTCAAATTTTAAAAACAGTAGATTTCCTTAAGCTTTGTTTATTATTTTCTAAAAGTTCCAAAAACATTTCCATAATACTGCAATCCAATTGTTTAATAAGCTTGTCATATTATTTTTATCAAATCTTTAATGTTTTGGTCTTTGATATTTTTACCGTAGAAGCCATGATTGGTGACACCAACCTCTACCTGATAGAAGAGGACGGAAGTCTCATCGGAGAGACTGGCATCATGATAGCAGAAGAGTCAGTTAGAGGAAGGGGACGGGGGAGGGAAGCAATCCTGCTCATGTTGAGATATGGTAATGTCCCAACCCATTTATACAGTACGGTAATGTGTTTATGTGTTTTTTATTTATTTCCAATTTCCATTTATTTATTTAGTTTTCTTTGTGCTTTCATACAGGCTATAATAGTAGTAAAAAATTGTACTGAGTAGGCTAACTATTTTGTTTGGTTATGTATTAGGCCTAAGACAAAAGAGTTTTTTGTCCCACCAAAAAAAATCCTAGGTTCTAGCCTGGAACCGTTTAACACATTACTTCAGACTATTCCTAGAGGGTTGCGGCATTATCACATAGATCAAATCCATTAGTGATTGGCAGGATTTGAACCTGGGACCTCGGCCTCCGAAGCCCCATGCTACTCCACTAAACCAGCTAAGAGGGAAGAGTTGTACCTATCAAAATAATAATAAAAACAAATCCAAAATTATCAACTTTTACTGCCACTCAAAATCCTGTAAATACCAGCTGTTTGATTCAACAAAATTATTACTAACACACTAGAGCAACATTGCTACTAAGTATTAAATGTTTACCCAACATAGTTTTAAATCTACTTCCTAATACAAACTTCATAGCTGAATTTTTGAAGAGGCAACAATTTTATTTTGAATAAAAAACAACAATTAGATTTATCTTAGGTTATGTATAGGTTATATTTGACTGCTTAAATTCCTTTAAAATCTTGTCAAACATTTATTCAGGTGTCGAACATTTGGATGTTAAGAGGTTTCTTGCGAAGATATCTCTTTCAAATGAAATCAGCATCAAAATGTTCAAGAAGTTGGGTTTCGAGGTGGTAAGTTACATGTTAAATAGCTTATCTATATAGCATGCCTATTTTAGTATTGCTCACGTTAATGTTAACCTAATGTTTTAACATTTAAATCAACTCAATTTTGCCCTCCTAAAAAATATTTTAGATATTGATTGTAGTAACAAACAAGGCATTAGAGGACCATACAACTAAACATCTGGTAGCAGAACCATTGATTATAGTCAATGGTAGAACTCTAACAAAAGGTTGGGAAAGATAACGAGAGATGAGTTGGCACCATCACAACATCTTTGTAAAGAAGTATTTTGGTAAAGGGGTGTAGGACAATATAAAGTAATTACTGCAGGTTATTAGAGGGGAGATACCTTATTGCAGAAGACATCTGCGAAGTTTGTGTGATCGAAAATACATGGAGCACATTACAAAATCGCCTGACAAAAGTTAGTTGTACGTTATACCACAGAGAATAATTAAGCAAACTCTACTTGTTTTGTGCCTATGCTTGTGGCATTTATTAAAGAAGGTGTTGGAGATACATAAACAATTTTAGAACAAGCGGTTCGAACCTTTTGTGTAACTATGTTTGATTTGCTTTGTAATCAGAGGACATCTAGTATGCCATCATCACTTCCTTGGTACTTCCCTTGTGATTTTGCACAGAGCAAATGATTTGTTTGTCTCACTTTAGTACAATTTCAATTCTGACACTATTTATAGGTTATGGAAAATATGCACTTTCATGCTAAAAGTAATTAAATCTATCAAATTACTGAAAATATTCATTAATTCCTATTAAATCTTGTGAAATGTTTATTTTGCAGGAAAGTGAAAGCAGTGTGTTTCAGGAAGTGACTCTTTTTGTTGATGTTTCTTCTTCTTGGAGAACCTGGCTTAAAGATCAGACAAACCACTTTTATATAGAGTCAGAGACTTCTAAATCCCTATGATTTTATGTGATAAAAAAATTGTAAATATAAAAATGCATATACTAGTAAAGTTAATGATGATATCTAATCATTTACTTTCATTGTTGCTATCCCCAAACAAAATTAGAATGTAATTTTATTGAAGTTATAAAATACAAAAGTTATTTTTAAGATAACCAGAGGTTATCCTGTTTTCAAAGTGAAAAGTAACTCCATGAAATATCTAAACTACTTTTTCTGAGGAAAGATTTAAAGAAAGATTTTTCTCACTAAACGATTTTTCTAAGGATAAAATAAACGTTAAAACAATCGTAGAGATCATAATCTTTATAACTTTATACAATAAATGAGGCGGTCCATTCCAAAACTCGCCTTTTCCATGTTTTTTCGAAATTGAGATATTGGTACCATTGGATTCCTTGGGTTAATCCTCATTTGACTGTAATAAGCATATCGTGCCAAAAATTGTCTTTTCCCGTTAAAATAAGCATTGAAAATCGAGTATCATAGCAAAACTCGCCTTTTCCAGCGCACATGTCATTCCAAAACTGGTCTAATCCAACCGACCAATCACAGCCCAGCTGTGAGGTCACGTGATTGGCCGGCAGCCATTGTGTGTGATCTTCTTGTCTCTGTCAAAGTGACAGTAGTTCCTTGCTTTTTATTTTAAATAATAAGTTATTAATTGATTAAAGGTTGATAATTAGTTGAAAATGGATATATCTATAAGGCCTGCAGAAAAAGGGAAAGGTAGAAAGAGGAAGGCAGATCCTGACAACTGGGCAAAGAACAAATTAAAACGACAAAGGTAAGCCACTGTTTTGTTTACTTTTAGTTTAATGTTCCTAACCAAACTTTAACACTGTTACTACTTTTTACTTTAAAAAATAATATATTTTTAGAATGATTGAGTGCAATGTTATTTGATCAGCTGCTTACTTATCGGCTTGATTATAGGCGTACTACATAGCTTTGTTTTGTTTTAGGCACAAGCCAAAGGGATTGCCAAGCATGCCATCGTGTGACCACAAAGGCAACAAGACATTTCGATGTAAGAATCTAAGGATCGTAGACGTCAAGGAGTTTCACGATAACTTTTACAAGACTACTGACAAGGCAACCCAAGACGCGTTCATTTTAAAATATATTGGAATACGTGAACCAGCTAGAAGAAGGTCTAAAAAGATGGACAGCAGTAAGAAAGGTATTTCTGTTAGCTACTATGTAAAAGTTAAGAATGCTGGTGATTTTAAACTTCAAGTCTGCCAAAAAACTTTTCTGAATATCTTGCAAATTTCAAAAGATAGAGTGCAGAGGATTGCTCGCAATCATTTACGTACAGGTGAAATGCCTCTTGAGAAACGTGGTGGTGATAAAACGTCAAAAAGGTTCTTAGCCAAAAAAACATCAGTCAGAAATTTTATTGAAGGTTTAAAAAACTGCTCTGAAACACATTACTGTAGGGGAAAGTCACAAGCTCGCCAGTATTTGCCTGGAGATTTAAATATATCTAAAATTTGGAGGATGTACAACAATCAGGCACCAGTTGAACTAAAAGTAAGAAAAACTTTTTTTCGGACACTGTTTTGTGTGGAATATAATATTGGTTTTGGAAGTCCAGTGACGGACGCCTGTTCAACTTGCTTATCATACAAAGAACAGTTGAAAACCTTACAGGATCCTGGTGCAAAATCAAAGACAATGATAAGTTTACGTGTCCATAAATTACGTGCAAATGCTTTCTATACTAAGCTTAAGGAAAATGCAGACGGTTTGCAAACATTTAGTTTTGACTGCCAAAAAAATTTAGTAGTTCCTAAAGTGCCAGACCAAATAGCCTACTATAGTAGGCAACTATATACCTACAATTTTACAATAGTAAAAGGTTCATCCAACGAAAAGTTAACCAAAGACAACGTATACATTTATACTTGGAATGAAAATGACTATAGTAAGTCATCCAATGAAATAGCTTCTGCAGTCCATGATTGTTTAGTGAAAACTGACCTGTCTAATATCTCTGTAATTAGGCTTTGTGCTGACGGTTGTGGTGGCCAGAACAGGAACTCTAACATGATATTTATGTGTGCTCACTATCTGCTAAATAGTGCTCCAGCGAATGTGAAGAGAATAGAAATTGTTTTTCCAGTTAGGGGGCATTCGTTCCTGCCATCCGACCGGGTTTTTGGTTTAATCGAAAAAGACCTCAAAAAAATGCCCGTTATCTATGAACCTAATACATACACAGATGTCTTCAACAAATATGGGACAGTATCAAAACTAGGGGAAGATTGTAAAGTGTACGATTGGAAAACAAGTGCCACAGAACTTTTTAAAAAACCAGGCCAATGGCACTTCCAGTTTTCCTTTTGCAAACGGTTCATACTGTCACGAACAAAATCATTGACTAATGTTCTAATAAGAGGTGAGGTGTCATACCAGTCTGACATGAACAATCCAGGATCAGTTATGAAGAAAAATAAAAGATTGAAAGATGCAGTCATCGGTGAGGTTCCACGGGGTGTTGTAGTTAAGCCAAGCAAAATCAGTGATGTCAAACAACTACTCATCAGTCACTTTGGTGAAAATTGGTTTGATAATCCATCAACAACCTATCTGAAGAATGTTCTTAATACATATGGTCATGGTGTAGCAGCTACTGGTGCCAGTATCGACGAGGATGAAGAATATGCCTGTTGCCAGGGGGAAGAAGGCGTCGATTTAATTGTTTGAAACTAAAGACAATGAGACACTGACTAGTGACAAAGTTTTTTACAAAGTAGTTTTAAAGGTTTTTGTTTTTTTAATAATTAAAGATTTGAATTAAATGCTTTTTTCAATTTAAGGATTTTTAAAGTTTTTTAAAAGATTTTCAAATGTGTTTTCAATCAAAATTTTCTGTATATTTTGTTTTCATATAAAAAACTTGTAATAATAAATCATTCACTTTAATATTAATTTCAAAGGTTTTCATTTATTATACCCACCATGTTCACTTTAAACAGAAGAATATTATTCAAATCCAATTTTTGTTATAGCAAAACTGGTCTAATCCAATGTATGTTGGAGCAAAACTTGCCTAATCCAAAGTGTCGTTCCAAAACTCGCCTTGTGCATTTTTTAAACGCAAATAACTAAATTTGTAATAAATATATTTGGTATTTACAGTATTCAATAAACTTGTATGATTTTTTTCTTTTTTTTTAATATTTTTCATCAAAAAGTCTCCAGGCATATGTTAGTTATACGTTTTTCGCGTTTCCTGAAAAATTTTGAGTTTGGGAGTAGGCGAGTTTTGGAATGGACCGCCTCAAATGGTTTCTCTTCAGCATAATTATATCTGCTACAAATACACAGATTCAATGGAAGTATTTTTTGTAAATTGCATAGAATTAGCCTAAAGGTAGAATCCATTCAACATAAACATATATCTATATTTTACATACATTACAGAACTAACAACATAATGAGGGGGGGTCTATTCAGAGGGAGGTGGTGGGGGTTGTGTATCCTTCCCCTCTTTCCCCTCCTCTGGCTCTTCAGTCACAGATGCTGGCATTTCTGGCTCCTTACCCAAAGCTTTAGCCTCTTCCTGTGTGAACATTAACTTAACGTAAGTACCTACCCACTTTATAAATAATTATTTTGAAAATCTTTAAGGTAAATTTCAATGTATAGAAAAGGAAATATTTCACAAAGTAAATTAACAGTATTACAAAATTGATACAACAATTTTAAGTTTTAAGGAAAATAAAATAAAAATAAAAAACCAATGCCAGTTGGTGATAGTCAGGACATGTTGTTGGTGTTACAAATCGTCAAAAGTTTATGCTACACAATACAGCATACCAAGAAAATATTTCTGCAATACTATAGTTTACTTAAAAAATCCCTTTGTAACTACAAATAGGTCTGATTTGTGGTAACATACATAGATCTCACCCATTCTGTAGATTCTCTGTTATCACATCCTAATTGACAGTAGTTTAAATATACTCCACTCTCCAGAGACAATCAATACTCTATCCAACACTTTAGAGAACAGGTTGGTTACTTATTTTGACATATAATATGTTTTCCTTGTTAACTGCCAAGAACTTAAAATATTTATCAAACAGATACACTGATCAGGATTTTACCAGCCTACATAAAATATTTGTACCTCTTCAATGGTCGTGTGAAATTCCTCCTCCGCAGTCTGCAGTAGCAGGTCTGCCGCAGAGGGGTGGGTGACGGAAGGTCGGCTATCTCGTGACCCTGCGCTGTGAGCCTCACTCTGGCGTGTCCGCACTCGTAAACGGATCTCCCGCATCTTGCCCTCGATAATCTTCTCCCTCCTACTTTCCCTTTCAAACATCTGGAGGTGGGAACAGAAAAAAATCATCACCTTACCAGTATTATAAAGTGCAGGATTTATACTATCAACTAAACTGTAAGGAGTTTACCAAAGTTATCATTGTTTGCCTTTTTGGTGAAGAAGGTTTTAAGCCAGGTTTTACAAATCGTGGTAGACAGCCTCACCTGCTGAATTGTATTCTTAACGTGATAGAGTTTTGATCGAGAGATGTACAAACTAATGTAATCTTATAACAAGTGTCACATTGACTTGAACTTATTTGCAATGTTAAAAATAATTGGGCGAAGATCACTGTCTGTTATTAAAAAAAAAGCTGTTCTAGAAAACTCTCATGCTAATTAATTTATACTTCGGAATTACTAATACTAAGGACAATATTTTTGGGAATCCGCATTTTTTAAACCAGAAACGAGATAATTAACCGATTTTTTTAAGCATAGGGCCAGGTTTATGAGTGCATACATGATAAAGAACTTATAATCATTGTTTGAAAATAATTTAGAAACATTGCAAAATACCTAAATTAAACTACTACGCGATTTTACTTTAAATACAACCTAGAAGGTTGTACCCATTGACATATTTCAGTTAACCCATCATGACTATGCAATGCACCTACCGCAGTAAGTAAGGACTTGTCATTCTTTGCTGACACTGCTAGATTTTCAGAGAACTCTACCAAGTACGCAGTGCCTCTGTCATTCCCCACCGCGACCAACTCTCCGTACTCGTGACACCGTAAACATCTCAGGGGTTCATCACACACCTGTAACATTAAGCCACAACCACATTATCATAAGTTTTCAGTTAAAGTTTTGCAAGATTTGAGTTTTTATTATTCATTCACACAATCTTGATTACATTTCTGTTCGGCTTTTGTAATATTTGTTGATCGCATTTTATTCAGAACCTTAAGTGGATAACAGTCTAAAGCCGTCCTGACATTGGAATTTGTAAATGTAAGTAAGTTGTAAGTTGAATGGATTGACCTTGACCAATATTGCAATCCAAACCACTACAGTTTTGTTCAGCAACTTTCTGTGCTTTGTAACCGATTTTTTATGGTTTTTCAAGTTAAGTAAAAGTTTACTTGCACCAGAAGTTGGTTCAAAGAACGTTGCCACCTTAGGTTTGCAATTGCATTGATTCTGAGGTGTTAGCAAAAGTGGTCACAATCTTTTGATGATATACTGTATGGAGATCTTATGTTTGTTAGTCACTACACTACTTAAAGCAATTTTTTTTTAAATGGTACATTTTTTCCTTCTAGTTTGGTTAGAATCTAAAGTTTGCAGCTGAAGTTTGAGATTTTTGTCTACAAGCGGAGTTTCAAACTCCGGTGTGAACACTATTTGGTTGTCCAATAATAGATAGACCTAAACCGACCTTGACGCTAAGACAGGGATCTCGCTGGTTCTGTAGGATGTCCCATGCGTCCACAGTCCCGTCCATACGAGTGGTGTAGAACACCGAGTACCTGGTGGGACTCCAGCTGCCACTGGTCAGGAATGAGCGATGGTAGCTGATAGAAAAACAACCAACTACACTAACTGTCATAGAACAACCACCAACCATCTGATTGGATTTTAAATTGCTGGCGTAGTGATTAGCACTACAGCATAGCCAATAGGTTACAGGTTTTTGATTTGTCAAGTTTTTTGTTATATAATTTTTCTATTTTTGTGGTTTTTGTAAGGTGTTTATAAAAAAAAAACTGAAGAAGAAACTATTTATGCTGCTTGAAATCAATTGTAATTCTATTTGACCATTTATTTCAATATTCTCTGCCACATAATCCTTGACAAGCATTATAGCATATCAGTTAATTTTTAACACCTGATTAAAAACACTTTCCGCAACCAGCTATTTACATTATACAAATTCAAATTGATTGCTACCTAAATTTTAGTGAAAAACTTTAATTAACATCTGCTGCACTTCCATTTAGGCTGACCTTTTTATTACATTTGAGCTCCACTCACAAAAGAACTGTTTTATTTTAAATAGATATTAAATCTAGTAATTTGTCTAAATAAATGTTAGCAATTTTTTACACCTTCACTATCTTATGTTTTAACTAGGCCTATTCTGACTAAAACAATTGACTACTTCAATTTCAGTCGTACCTTTAGCATTCTGTGACTGGCTCACACAACTACATTCTTTTTTGATAAAAAATTGGCTACAGCTGGTCCATATAGATGGAAAGTCTATTTCAGTATCCAATAGTCAATGGTTGTACCTTGTCCAAATGATGGAAGACTCCTTGCAGTCCTCACTCCAAATGCGAGCTGTCCAGTCACCAATGGTCAGGAAGTTCTTGACAAATGCGGGGTTGCGCTGCAGCGCGTACACCGGGCCGTGGTGTGTCTTGTAAGTGGCTCCGAGCTTTTCCAGCGGTGTCTTACCTTTGCGGTTGCCGGAAATCACTATCCCGTTCTCTGTGCCAATCTATTTATCATAAATACTAAGTTATGATAAAAATGGTAAAGATGAAATGACAGATAAAGAGTGGGTTAGTGGAAGAAATTTAATCCTTCTATGTGCTCTCAGAGGAGGAGAGTAAGGTCACTGTGAAAAATGAAGTACCAAAATTGCACAAAGAAATAAATGGCATTTGTGTATGGTTATACTTTCAAAGAGTTTGTGTTGTTGTCGTATGATGTTACAGTGATTGGTTGAAAATAACCAACTATTATGGTTATATCAAAACAAGTAAAAATGAGAATTATTATACCTCTAATTACTTAAACAAATTTATTTCCATTCTTAATAATAAATATAGGCTATATATTACAACAATTTGTTCTAGCAAAAACTGATACTTCATACAAATTTTGTTGTCAAGAATGTATAATTCTAGTATTCATGTCTATATGAATTAAAATCGTAATAATATAGGCCTACTGTTGAATCAAACAGTACAAGAAATATTTTTTTTAGATAAAAAAAATCACATAGAAAAACCCAAGACTGATTTTACTAACACAGTTGTTAAGTAAAACAGGTTTGGGAGAACATATTTCAAAAATATATCACTGGATATTAATTATGGATTCAATGTCACAATCAATACCCAAATAAAGAAATGAGGCCTTTTTCCAGGGAACTAGTTCACAATCCCAGTAGTTGTATTCTCCCAGTGTGTGTACCCTTGACTTACCATGAAGCGTGTAGGTATGGTGGGCTCATACTCCAGACAGCTGGCTCCCAGGGCTCTGTTGAGAGATTGTTCTTCTCCCTTGGTCATGTCTAGGATGAGTGTTTCCATCGGCTCACTGAGCTTCCTTACGTCCCACCACTTCACCTGTAAACAAAAAACAACACAAGAAATAACTTAGATGACATACATCGACTGAATCAGACAAAGTGGAACTGTTAAGAGAAGCTGACAATCTAAATTAACCTCAATAGACCACTGTGAACGAGATGCTTGTCTTCTGGAATAAGGTCAAGTTTAAAATCTACAATTGCAAACAGAGCTAACAGTCAATTTGTTAATTTTCTACGTAGCTTTTGGTGAAGGAATATGTCTCAGTACAAAAAGACCAGCCAGTACCTCCTTGATTTTCTAGCTAAGTGGTCCTTCTAATGTTAACTCTGAAACACCAGAGATTAGCGTATATTATTACATAATTAACAAGTCATATACATTAGAACCCAGACCTTAAGAATAACAGTTTCTAACAATCACTAAACTACCCCTTGAGTATTGCATCCTCTAATATTCATTTTCGTCATTTTAGTTTGGTATGTAGAGTTACTATATGAAGCCTCAAAACTGGTCGTTCTTTAGCATATGTAGTGGACCTCCCGTCTGCAAAAATCATAAAATAAAAACCACCCATCAAAGCATTGCTGCAATTTGGATAGTATAAATTTCTTATACATTTTTCAAAATGTCTTCTGACAAAATGACACTGATGGTTTCCAACCAGTTACCATGCATAGGAACAATACAGATCAGTAACTTATAGATGTAAAAAAATGTGTGATGACGAGTTTGAATAAAAAAGTGATTTCTGAACAAAATTAAATATCTCTGAATGTTTTACAAGACCTGGCCGTCTGAGGAGGCGGAGAAGAACTCTGTGCCACTCTTGGAGTTGATCCACAACACTTGGTGTGTAGGGTCCCTGTGTGACGTGGCCAGAGAGCTGAGCTCCACAGGGTCGCCACCACGACGAGTGTCCCAGAACGCCACCTGACCGTTGTGTAGCCCACTGACCAGGCTGTGTGGATCCTGCAGACAGTTTCATTTGTACAACAACCTCAACTGCCCACTGATCTATGCAGTATCTAAAGACCATGAAGTACTGTTACGGTGTTGGCTAAGTCATATGGACAACCGAGGCAGTGGTGACTGCAGTGAAAAGATATAATGCAAGCGGCTGGGCTTGAACCATCAAAGTATACCTGTAAAAAGCATGCAAAACAGCTCGCGAGCGGGAATTGTTCGCTAATCAGCTGATTTCACAGTTGTCGTTTCTACACCAACCACAACCGCAGATCTGGTACGATACCAACTCGTAAGCTAATAGCATAATCTAAAAAAGCAAACGTAACCTATATCTAAAAATATGCTTTACCTTCGTCACTGCAGCTCAAATTCTTGTGGTGTAACTATGTTACGGCCGTTTCGGCATTACAATGCCATCGTCAGACTACAAAAACACAAACTCGGCTGAAGTAGCGTCGTTGAAGTTTAAACACGTAACACATACGAACAATAATATACATTTAAAATATTTACAAAAACCGAACAGGCCTGTCGTACTAACGGGTGACATGTTCCCGTTCCGAGCAAAAACCGACAAAGTCGTATTAACGGCCTGTCGTATCGAACAGGCCAGTCGTACTAACGAGAACATGTCACCCGTTAGTACGACAGGCCTGTTCGGTTTTTGTAAATATTTTAAATGTATATTATTGTTCGTATGTGTTACGTGTTTAAACTTCAACGACGCTACTTCAGCCGAGTTTGTGTTTTTGTAGTCTGACGATTGTAATGCCGAAACGGCCGTAACATAGTTACACCACAAGAATTTGAGCTGCAGTGACGAAGGTAAAGCCTATTTTTAGTTATTATACAGCTCAGGGGCTAAAACATGGATTTTAAGTAACCTATATGACATTTTATACTATATAACTTACAACTTTAAAAAGTTAATCTATGTGTTGATAAGTGAGTTGTAGTGGTAGGAAAAAACTTGTGTGTTAAGAACGTATCTAGTTCTCATCTATAGTGTAACATCTAATAGTTCTCGAGCGGCAATGACATACTTTGAACTCGTAATAGGTACACACCGTGTATGTGTCAATGCATTTGTAACATTCACAACCACGTTCACAACTGTCTAACCACTGTGTTTAGTCTAAAACAGTGTAATCAATAATCATCCTTTGATATGTTCTTTTTTACTTAGTACAAGTTACAGTTATTAACTGTATTTGTTGTGTTGCACATTATGAACAATGTTTACTTACCTTTGGGTTGTACTCCAAACAAACTATAGGAACACTTGGCTGCAGAACCAACTCTGGTTTGTTAGGGTTTTCTGAAAATAATTAGTTGATTTAAAAAATAGAATTACTTGTTGACAGATATTTTTTTAGCTCAAATTCTCTGATAAATTTTCAACATTACCTATTAAAACTTTATTTTTTTGTCAATGCAGGTCTATACTTGTTATTTGGCAATAATTTTCCTTTAAAAATATTAACTGTAATATAAAACAATTTTCATCAGGTTATATCAAACATTTTACGTAGGAATTTAGTAAACCACTAAAACATTGCGGAATTACATTCTTAGTTTTGCTTTGTTCTTGTATACCAATTCAAAACCTAATGTAGGCGTAATACACATTAAAATACAAATTAGGTACCACAATAACTTTACAACACACCCTGTAAGCAGGTGCGCTGAATGCACTGATGCAGGATGGATCTAAAGCCGGGTTTTCCTAGGCGCGGAAGCGGAGAGCGGACTCCACTAGTCTTAGGTAATTTAATGTTACTGTTTTCCTAGAAGCGGAGTGGAACACCATGTTAATCTCTTTTCCGCTCTCCGCATTCCTCTCTCCGCTCTCCGCTTCGCGCTTAGGAAAACCTAGCTTAAGATGAGTGGATGATCTATATTCAATCATGTTAAACATGTAAAATTGTCATAGTGAGTAATATGTACCCTCGCTGCTCTAGTGTTGTTGTAGTGGTAACACTGACACTTACCAACTTGCCAGATGTACGAGTGAGTACTGAGATCTGGTGGAGCTCGTTGGAACTCGAGGTTACAGTGAGTCACGGCCAGTCTAGTGCCTCCGTCAGGCGACCATGACAGATGATGGATGGGTCGCTTGGTGGCACTTGGATCTCTAGAAAAACCAGGTTAATACTCTAACTAAAACCCTTCATAATGGAGAATTATAGCTACTAAGCTAAATTCTATGTAGGCCTACCTATGATGTAACTATTATTATTGATAATTGATAATTTTTCAAATATATTTCCAGTTGTGAGTAGATTACTAGACTTTTAATCATAACTGACCCAAGATGTCTATTTCCTCAGCAAATCTACCATATCCTCCAACAATTAAGAGGTTGAGCAACACAACAATTTGAAACAAATTAAAAAATAAACTATAAAGTTAAAGTTGCCCAATGTCCAAAATAAAGTTTTCCATTGTATTTAGTTGCTGAAAATTAAACATAGTAGTTACAAAGCCATACTATCCAATAAATCATATGAATGAACCAATGGACAAATTCTGTTTAGTTACCTGAAGACATTGACTGTTCTTGATTTGGAGCGTTCAACCAAAGCTGACTGATCGTCATCAGCAAAGTAAAGCTCGTAGATATTCACAGCGTTGTTCTGGAATATGCAGTGTTCCATTGGCTAGAAAAATATGAGCAAATCGCACAATATTGGAAACAAAACATTATAGGTACATTTGATATGGAAACCATTGACCATTTATTTGTGATTATATAAAATTTAAAACTCCGCTCTGCTACCCTACAACAAGTTTAGGGATCGAGCTGGTCTTGTGGTTAGAGTGCCTGAAGTAATGTGAAAAACAATTCCGAGCTTGTGCCTAGCGTCCTAGGACAAAAAAAACCTACAACAAGCTTAAAGTTTGTAATAATTTTTATTTAAAACCTTCCTAAGATTAGGATGAGAATAACAAACATTAGGTTTGTACATCAATAAAATACAACATCGTTCGAGGTTTCTATTGTAAAATCTGCTCCAGATACATTCAACTTTTGTCTGTACAAGGGCTATTCAGAAAGTAAGGAATGTTTCGTTCTGACCCCGCCAGGAACGCACCAATCTCGTACATTTTGGTGTATGAACGCTCAGCAACTCGGTCGGCGTCCAGCCGTGACAACGGGAACGTCCTCGCGCTTCCCGTTTTTTTTGCAATTTCAACTTAAGATGTGCGCTGCGATTGAAAATCCCACCAGTTGTGAGGTGCGGTCAGTGAAACGGTTTTTGTTGGCAAAAACTTCAAACCAATATACCTTTATCGCCAAATGTGTGAAGTTTACAGAAACAACAAAATGAATAAAATTTCTGTGCGAAAATAATGCATTCAGTTTAAAAATGGTCGAACTGACGCTCATGAGCCATGACAAAGCGACAAGCGGATGCCCGAGCATTGTGATTGATGAAACTAGTCTCCAAAGTAGATGAAAATGTTTGCGAAAACCGACGATTCACGATAACGGAGTTTTTGCTTTGTTTCCCTCAAGATCACAGACTTTTTTGTTTGAAATATCCACACAAAACAGTTTACTATCTCATATAAACATAGAACATCTCAAATTCTCTACTCACATGAGACAGCTGAAGCACAGTGTGAATGTACATCTCATCTTTCTCCACCTTCTTCCTGAACCTCATAGTCTGCTCTATGTCCAAGGGGTTGATGTCCTTAGGCCAGCCACCCTCCGCGTGGTTCATGCTGTGATGGTCATACTCCGCTCTGATAGTGTTCAACTGACAACATTGTCTGGTCAAATGTTGAACAATAACCTTCTCTACATGTCAATTTTAATTATTTGTTCAGGATTAAATAGTCAGTGGATAGTGGTACACAGCAATAGTGTAGTAAGTTTCCTGGTGAAAATATCACCTTTCCATAAGGTATTTTTGAAAATAACATTACTCCCCTATGTTATCCCCAAATGGTTCATCTTTGCGGAATTGAATAGGCCTATGCAATACTTCATGATTTTAAACAAGATGTACGGATATTTTTAGTTTGGTAGAATGCATACTGCAATCATCTTTAAGTTAAAGAGCTGAAATATAATTAACTAAATAAATAATTAACGTAAGAATAATACCATCCATTTCCTTATAGGACATACACATGGTAGTACTATATTTACTTCAATCAGGTTAATTTTAAAGCTTTGTTTATGTATCTTACCACAGTGTTATTTTTAACATCAGTAATCTTATCTCATTCATCAGAGAACCATATAACTTCTAGGGAGCTATGTGAATAAAATAGTGTTGAGGTTATAAAGAAAACTGTTTCTAAAATAAGAATGTGAAACTTGAGTAGTTAAAAATATTATCAGGATAAGAGAGGGTCATAAGTTTGAATAATGGTAAGTCCCTACTCAACATTAACAAATGAAGTTTACTCAATAATAAATTATAAATTTAAAAATGAATCTCTCCTATCAGAAGTTTTTAAACCGACAAAAAATGTCACAAGTGCATGGTCCTATGAAAGACTTGAGTTTTTGGGTGATAGTGTTTTGAATCTAGTTGTTTCAATCATTCTCTTTGAGCTTTACCCTTTTGAAAAAGAAGGTCATTTGACATTACGCAAAAATGATCTAGTAAGTGGACAAAGGTTGTCGGAAGTGTGCAGATCCTTGAATCTCATGAAACTCCTTCCAGAAACATCAGTAAAGTCATTGTGGCGGGAAAGTGACACTTTGGAAGCCCTTGTAGGGGCGATATTTCTTGACGGGGGCTTTACAAATGCAAAAAAGTTTATTTATTGTCATTGGAAAAAACTTGCTAGGCAAATACATTTTGCTCCAGTGGATGCTAAAACTCGCCTTTACATTTGGACTCAAAAGCGGCAATTGCCTCCACCGAATTATGAAGTGAAAGATGAGTTTCAAGAAAAGGAATTGTTTGCAATAACACTCAAGTTGACGGGCACTCATGGTTATGGGACTGTTAAAGTGTCAAACAAATTAAAAAAGCGAGGGGAAATGCTTGCTGCTGAAATTATGTTCCATAGAATTGAAAATAGGGAAAAGTGGAAGAACCTGTTAAAATCTACTGGGGACTATATTACTGAGGAGGACTTGATAAATAGCCGTGAAGATTTCAAAACAAGGCTTAATCTTTGGTGCAAAGCCCACAAAGTTCGTCTACCTTGTTTTGGCACTATTGAAAAAAAGGTTGATGGAAAAATTAAATACAGGTCTTCAGTTATCTTCAACAATGGAAGAATAATTTATGGAACTAGTTCCAACAAAACTGCAGCTGAAAAGAAAGCGATGTTGAAAGCACTTCTTGAACTTTGTGATGATGAACGGGACTCGGCGGCATTCAAGAACAAAACCAACTCCATGCAAATCGATTTGTGTGAGCCAAAAAACTTCAAATCAATTCTTGCCGAATGGGTGACGAAAAATAGGTTTGGACCAATAAAGTACAATGAGGTTAAACTTGATGGAAAACTTTTTAACATTTCACTTACAATTTTGGAGAGTGATTTTGGAACAGTGAGTGTAATCTGTAACTGTAAAAGATACGGGCGGCAACAAGCAGCAGGAACTATGATTGAAAAAATAATAAACATGAACGGTTTAAATAAAACTGAAAGAGACATTGATACATTTTCAAATTATAAGGATGAACTATACAAGTGGACTCGAAGCAAAAATCTTCCCAGTCCAGAATACAAAGTAGTAAACATAACTGGTGTTGGACATAATTTGCTGTTCACAGTGTCAGTAAGTGTTGTGGGGCAAAACAAAACATTATCTACTGGATACACTAAGCAGTCTGCCCAACAGAGAGGTGCTATGTTAATGCTGGATAAAATAAAATAATTTATTACATTATGTGGATCTTTGGTAAAACCTGGTTCAGAAACAAATCATTTAATAACGGTTGATTGTTCTAGGTAGGTATTTTAATTTCTATGTTTGTAAAGTGCTGTACTGATTGAGTACTAGCTTGCCCAAACTATCAATAATTTATTTAGTGATTTCGCTCCTTATAAGTATCCCAGGTAGTGCTGAGCTAGCAAATCAAGAAAATAATTTTGAGTGATTTATGCGCTCATTTTTTGTATCATCTCTGCTGTCTGTTAAAAATAGTTAAATGTAGGCTAGCGTTATTGTTGGATGGTATGTTTTCATCAACCTACCATTGCTGAAAACATAGGTACCAGGTCATTGGCTAACAAAGGAAGATATTGGGAAGACTATTAGGTACTGTTAAAGAACCTAGCATGAAAATGTTTTTTATATAGGTTATTGTTTCATATTGGAAATGAGTAACACAACAAACGGTTTACAAATCTTAAAATATTAGTACAACTGTAATTAACTATTACTGACTTTAGTTAAACTGTAGATTTTTTCACTATGATGAAAGGAACTATAAGAAAACTTAACTAGACTAACGTTTAAAATAAATTATATTTTTTAAACAGTTTCTCAACTTAATGACAGAGATCATCCTCAACTAACCTCATGTTCGGCAAATAGTTTGCTGCATTGGACTCCACGGTGTACAGGGTCACGCAGAATGTACTCATCCATGAGTGATCGGTTGGGTAGCAGGTTATCAATATTATTTGGACCATGATCACTAAAGAAACACTGCCTCCCAAACTCACTTCTCTTCTTGGTGTAGACATACTGGTTTTCCATAATGCCTTCTGTTTTTCCTGTAAATAAATTACAAAACTTTTGATAATTTAAACAAAATACTTTTTGTACACACTATTTTTTGTAACAAAATTAGTTACAGTAGCAGGAAAGGTTGATGTAAAATAAACCACAATCTTATGGTTTACTTGAACATATATAGGCCTATACCTATGTGAATTAAAATAAGATCTAATCTAAGGCCTTGATATCTGAAGGCGTTAAGAGTTATGGCATCAACTCATGACCTTGAACACTGTAAACCTCTTTTTAAAAAATTTAGAATCTTCACAGTATACAACCAGTATATTTTCAACTCTCTAAACTACATCAAGCAGAATATCAATCTTTTTAATGACAGAACAACCATACATCAACATCGAACTCGTAAAGCTCAAAATCTGGAAGTCCAAAGATGCAGGCTGAGCAAAACTCAAAAATCCTTTCCAATTGCAGCCATAAAACTATTCAACAGCCTCCCAGCTGACGTGAAAAGCCTCACAACCTCAAAATTCAAGAACCACATCAAACATGAACTACTAGAATGGCCAGTATACACCCTGAATGATGTAGAAGGAATCCCACTATTCACGGGAAAGAAATAGCCGAAAGGCATATGACGCAGTCAATCCCACAAGCTGGGTCAAAGACGAAGACATCAAGTATCAAGTAAGTATCAAGTAAGTATTACACTGGCCTATTTTGTTACCTATTACGCAGCTTAATTATTTCTATGGTGTTCCTTTTAAAGGTATCAGAAATAATCTTGATTAAGTTTTCAATCAATTAAAATGGTTTGCTGACACAGGATTAAAAATATATAAACAAATGAAAGAAGTATTGTTTGTAATAAATGTCTATTATTTGACTTAAAACAAAATTAGACGGTTAGTTATTTTTAACCAAACATAGTATTCTCGTCTAAAAATACTAAGTAGTTGATAAGTCTCATCAACTTACCTCTAAAAACCCTAAACCATAAAAATTTGTTGTTTTGAAAAAAGATTATTTGTATTGGTTAACATTCTTTAGAAGTTTGAAAATGCTGCCATAGAAACCAATGCCTTCTTGACTGTACCTATGCCTGTAGAAATGTCTTCAAACCCATGATTTTTAAGATGTGAATATAATACTATGGGTGATCTTAAAAGTTTTTTAAGTTGGAAATCTATTCTAATGAGGTTGTTTGTTGTTTCTTTCCTTAAATTTTAGTTCATTTTTCCTGAGTTTAAAAACTGAGCAAGGTAACTTTGCCCATCAGCTGATGAGATGCAGATTGACCAATCTCCATTCCACTGCCAATGAGATAATCTGCAAACACTGTGCAGTGCAGACAGAGCAGATATTCTGTCGCTCTCGTCTGTCATCAGCCGTGTTTACTAAATTGTTTTCTTTCTGCTTCTGAGTTCTGACTGGCATAAGGCATAAGTCGGCTGCTGCTAAGTTAGTTGTATTGTTTCCCAAATTGTAATTCTATTTCTATTCTATTCTAGGCCTAGGTGTGGCGTGCAAGACCTTCCTCAATCTTGTATTTCCTCTTTGTTAATAATAATTTTGGAACGGAATAATTTTCACTCAGTTGGAGTTGACTCAAGTGCGAGCGTAGGTGGTTCTTTGCTGTCCTGTATTCGTCAGATGAAGTAGTAAACATGTCAGTATAAAGGCTACTAACTTGTTCAACCTTATGCTATGCATTAGCCTATTAAACTAACTGGGGCCTACATAATAGTTCGCAATTTTGAAGACCAATCTCGCTTTCCAACCACAAAATGTAAGTGACATTTTAAGTTTTGAGTCTTTATTTAATAAACCAAAGGTAGGCCTAGCAAAAATATAACCTCAAAAGTGCACCTTAGAATTTAGTTTTATGTCATAACTACCCTGACTGTAATTAATGTCCCCTCCCTGATGTACCCAATTGAAAATGTGGATATTCATATTAATTAAATTTTAAGTAGGACTAGGCCTATAACTTACAACAGATTTTTTAGTCCTAGGACGCTAGGCACGAGCCTGGGATTGTTTTTCACATTACTTCAGGCTAGACCTAGGGGTTGCGGCATTATCACTTAGATAAAATCCATTGGTGACTTGGCGGGGATCGAACCCAGGACCTCAGGGACTGAAGTCCACTACGCCAGCTCGCTACCCCGCCTAAAACAGATTAGATTTATATTAAGTTACATTGACACCCTAGTGGGAACAATTATCAATTAAACTTAGTGCTGAATAAGCAAGATGACAGATGGCAGCAAGCTCTGTTTTGTTACTGCCCAAGATAATTTGGTTTTTTGACCAGTGGTATTATATTTAAATTCCATTAATCAACTGTGTCACGAGCTATCTACGCTCTTCTGACTTCTCAGGATTTAACTTATCCGGCAAACTTCTTGTTACTAGGTTAGGGTTATTATCCGTATCTCTCATTCCTTTAACTATTCGGTTGTACCAAATACCAACTATGCTGTTAAAGCGATTGTACTTAAGTAAGTTAGGCCTAACTAAATTAATTTAAGATTCCTAAAGTTCAGTTTACCCCGGAGTTAGGAACACATGATTACAACAAATTACAACGAAGAAACACTAGCCTACTTTTAAAGGTAGAATTTTGATGTTAGAATCAGTTTTTTAGTGTTTACAACAGAAATTTTGTTACCCACCAGAAGTCGGTAAAGATCAAAGGGTGTTCCAAACATTATTATAAACATTATAAGTACTTAAACAAATGCTGATCGAACACAATGTTTCTGTATGGTACTTCTATACTGTTTACAATACTGGTACTTCCCTGCTACCCCCGCGCCTACCAACCACCACGTGACTACGTGCCACGCCCTCAGTGTCAGTCCTTTTGCTCCCATGCTGTCATTAGCTTTGACTCAGTGCACTGTCTGCTACTGTAATTCAAAATTAACTTAGCACTAGACATTCTCAAAAAGTTTTGAAACTCCTGTCCGTCCGCAGTTCTCCCAATAGGAGGTCGATAATCATCTAAGTTAACTGGTCATTGGCACTGTATTTTGATCTAGCTTGCAGTGACGGAGACCAATCATTGTCTACTTAAGCCTAACCCCACCTAAATTTTCAAAAGCCTAAAGTCTTTGAAAGCATGTTTGGTCACTTTTGATAAAGAAATAGGCCAAGTCTATAGTGATCCTGAGTCCTGATTGATTTTGAAAAAAAAAACACTTAATTATTTTAATAGTAGCCCATGGATAAAGTTCTATTCCGTTTCCAGGTTGGTCACTCAGTTGTTGGTATTGCTCTGCATTTCACTGTCGTCGGGTACAGATTATTATGAACTTCTCGGAATCACAAAAGATGCTGACAACAAAGAGATTAGGAAAGCTTTTAAAAAGCTGGCAGTCACACTGCATCCAGATAAAAACTTGGTAAGTAGCTCTTAATGTAGGCTAGGCCTATCTAGTTATTGGTGTATAATGGTATATGGTAGGCATATATGGAAGATTGATAGATATATGGTAGTGTGTAATTATGGTTGTAATGAATGTTAAGTGTTTGTTTTAACGTAAACTAAATTAAAATTTTTTAACAGAATAGGAGGTATAAAGTGATAGGCCTATCCATCAATGGACGAGACAGCTGGGTCATACTGTACTAAAAAAATGTAAGATACAGTACTCCAAGTAATACATTTCACTAATAAATAAGAAGATCGATAAGATTAATTAATATTTGATATCATATAAATTTGTGTTGCCCTAAGATGCTAGGCTCTAATCCGGAATTGTTTTTCATATTAATTAAGTCTAGACCTAGGGGTTCGGCGTTATCACTTAGATAAAATCCATTGGTGATTTAGCAGGATTTGAACGCAGTACCTCAGGAATCGAAGTACCGCTAGACTACTAGGACAGCTCACTCCTCAATATAAAATAGTTACTTACTATAAAATTTATTTACTTATTTGCATTCCAACGGTGTAACACCAATATACAATTGAAAGCAAACTTAGATGGCTAACAAGAAAAATTGAAAATACCACACAATGCTAATACAAGACGATGACTAATATGGACTGTGCAGGAATATTGAAATGAAAACATGCAGTAACAACTTTGCTGCAGTGACAGTACATGCATAACACGATGACAAGATATGTAGACAGTTTCATAAAATGATTTGAAAGAAGATGGGTGCAAGCTAATAATAAATGCAAAAATGACAATGTTAACAAAACAATAATTATGACAGGACTGTATATTCTAGTGCGACAGCAATGTATGTAATAAGGCAACAGACTGAGTGTTCTTAAAAATAAGAAGAGAACAATAAAAAGTTATCTTTGGTGGAAATCTTAGTAGTAATTTGTGGACTAACAAGTTCAATGGTCTTGTCGCTGCCCTTTTTCACATAGCCTACTATTTTGACTTATTACTATAAACCTGCTGCATGTATTATAATTAAAATTAATTATAAGCCTATACCGTGACTTAAAATATGTAAAATTATAACATCTCATTTCTATAACTTTTTCTTAATCTTTTTTACTAGGCCTAGAACTTTCTAAGTAACAAGTCCTGCTACAGGCTTGGTAAATATTCATCAGTTTGTACTGTTATGGAAATAAACCTTTGGAATCTCTGGAGAGATGTTGAACTGTTTCTAGTTTGTTGTTGCATGACGTTCACTTAGGCATGTATTATGTCTGAAGTACGTGCTCTATCTTCTGTAGCTGCTGAGCTTTAAAGCACTCGAAGAAGTATTAGAGATTATCTTAATACCTACCGGTACTATCTTTCATAGTGATTATAAATGAATATTCTGATGTTTTAAATTACATCTTTTACTAACTCAGTTTTTATTTATTAATTTAAATGGAAACTTTTATTTACAGCCTTATATGGATTAGAAAAAACCCTTTTGTTTTATTTAGCCTGGGCCTTAGCTAATAACCAAAGAGAATTTAAAATGATTTAGATTTTGTAACTAAATTAGGTAACTTGTTAGTTTAGTTGATTATTTATTCATGTATTTGATATGCATGTTATCAACTCAATTTGTATATGGTTATCTCTTATTTATTGTTGTTATAGTTGCATATTCTAAGTTGTTATTATTTGAATTTAATGTTATTTGGCCAATCTACTGAGGTAGGTAGGCCTAGCCTATATGTAAAAAGAATCTTCTGTTAGTATGTGAATAAATTAGTAGGAAAAGTTAGATAAACTAGAAGGAACAATTTCACAGTGTGACTCAGCTGTCATTTATTTATTTATTTTGACAGCAATCGCCATTTTACAAAATAATACATGAGATAAGATATACAAGCAAAAAGATACAAAAGAAAACATGATATGGATGCGTAAGAAATTATGGTGGTGGTGGTGGTGAACAATGTGGGTGAAATTACAACAGTTACAACATTGTGAAAAATTAACAACAATTAATAACAACTACCTGTGTAAATAATTAACAATAATAACAATCAGTAAAGTATCAAAAAGACAACGTTGTGAATTTAAATTGAGTTTTGTGTTGCCGTTGTGTACAACTGTAGTGGGGCGAGAACACAAAAAATTCATTGTAGTTCAACCTTACCGAGAAATAAACTGCAGAAGCATAGATTTTAAAGCAACATCATTGAATAAATTGGATCTTTCCAAAAATAGAGGTTATACCCTCAACTTTTGCAATTGGGGTATGAAACTATCTGAACCAAAATAACGTGGAAAACTGGTTCAATGTTCTCATGCAGATCAGCCGTACATAATAAACAATTATTTAAAGGAAAGTTTACCTTAAATATTCAGTAACGGTATTTGTCACAGGATGACCCAGACGCCAACGAGAAGTTCGCCAAGGTAACAAGAGCATATGAAGTACTGAAAGACCCTAGTCAGCGGAAGCAATACGACCTTCACGGGGAAGAAACCCCCTCTTCATGGAGTCAGAGTCAGTACCACAGTTACTCTTACTACAGAGATCACTTTGGCATCTACGACGACGACCCGCAGATAGTTACGCTGAACATGGCCGATTTTGGTGAGTATTTTTGTAGGCCTAGTCTGTTTGTTTCGGGTGATAGTAAATGTAATATCAAGTCACAGGTAGGGCTATTAGTTTAATTTTTTTTTTATTTAGTGTGAATAACAATTGGTTGTCAGAGCCTTGTAACAATTGTTGATAAATTATAACAATTGTTGGCAACAAGTTCATTTTAAAAATCTCCTATTTTACGATTATGTTATTAACGTTTTACTATTATCTTTGATATCTCAAACCTCAAACCTGGGGTGCTAGCTGGTCTAGTGGTAGAGCTCAGTACTTCGGAGCCCGAGATCCCGGTTTAAAATCTGCCAATTTTAAATAACCAATTGAGTTTATGTATGTGATACTGATAATGACATGATCCTCTAGGACTAGCTTAAAGTAATGTGTAAATCGGTTCTGGGTTAGAACCTAGCGTCCTGATGTCTCAAACCTCAATAAGAAGAATTCTTTTATGACCGATCTGTCACCAGTAATTCAGTCTACAGTATTTCAAATCGTAATTGAGATGTTACTGTAAATATTGTTGTTGTAATTTAGTGAATGTTTAATTTAGTAACAAGATTTAAATATAATTAAACACTTAAGTATCTATTAAACACAAAAACAAAGCACTGATTTGAAATACTGTAGTAGGTTATGTTCGAAAGATAAGTACAGTAATTGCAGCCCTGGTGCAAAAGAGTATATTTTTGACCAATCAATTAACTTTTGTGGACGGTATGTTTATTTATTTTACTATAACTAACTTGTTGAAAAAGCTAAAAACTTAAAACACAATTCTGTGCAGCTAACTAACATGTTTCTAAAACAGTATTTCCAGTGTTCCACTTAAACTTTAACACGTTCACTGCTAAAGGAAATTATAAAATCAAACCGTATTGCTAAAAAACTTTATTGTTGTATAACATTCCTTTTTGTGTCCTTACTGAAATACAATATTATATAATAAATAGGATCAAAAGTGAATATGACGCCAAAAAGTGACGTCTTACTAATGGGTCAGTACTGACCCACCAGGAGCCAGAGTCAGAAAAAAATTGAAATGTCACTGAATACATTGTGTATATGTGACTAAAAATATATGTTCTAAAGATATATGTAGTCATTATCATAAAATAATCAACATAAAATAGTATATCAATTGATTGGAATTAATTATGACTTCATAATGTGACGTCATATACATGGGTCACTGCTGACTCATCAAGAACCAGAGTAAAAAAAATTGAATTATTTAACAAAGATGAAAGATATAAAAGATTTGAAATGTTAGGTCTAATATTATTGAAATAAAATGATTTAAAAGTTAATTGAAATTGAATATGACATCATAAAGCACACAAAAGTAGCACAGCGAGGGGCCTTCACGGTAACGTGGGTCAGTACCGACCCAGCCGCCTCGGCGGGAGCGAGACGCGGGAACCAACTCAACAGTGAAGAAAGCAAGTCACACACTACACGCTAACGTGGTATAGGTCAACCTTTTGACCGACACTAGGCTCGTACTGAGCGCAGCGAACGTGTTAAAGATGGAATTGAAGACCCATTTGTCGTTTTCGTATTGGTCTATAATTATGGATCTAACAACAGGTTGTATTTAGTTACTCAACCTCGATTTTGAAAAAAAAAGAAAAATATTCATATGCAGTCAACAAACCTGTACAAAAGAAAAATTAAAAAAATAATTTTCAATCAGACTCCCTGGTGACCAAGTCCGGAGTCCAGTGGTTTGTCAACTACTACTCTCCACTGTGCTCTCACTGTCATGACCTCGCTCCCGAGTGGCGTAAACTTGCCTTGGATCTCGAGGGTGTCGTCATGTTCGGGGCCGTCAACTGTGAGGAAGACTGGGCCTTATGTCGGCAACAGAACATACGCTCTTATCCTTCACTCATCATGTATCCTTCGGTGAGTAGATAGTTCTTTGAATTGTATCATTGTCCACATGGAATAGTTTTTTGGTTGGTGTAGGCCTAATATACGAATATCAATTGTTTCAATTTTGGTTTAGTTACTATTTGCACATCATGCCAAGTAACGATAAAACATCGTACAATTTTCAATAAAGGCATTTAGTTTCAAAATTCACCTGATAGGCTACCCTCTCTAGTTCACCTACATTATATGTCAGTCTCCTTCCCACAGTCAACCTCCACAGTCTAACCCAAAAAACCTGTGTGTGTCTGAGTTATATCATTGACTATAACAGAAATTATTTCTGTGTATAGTCAATGGTTATACCGGGTGTCCAAAACCACCCGTACACCCCTTTAAAAACGAGGGAAATCTATTCTTACAAACAACAACTAATACAGAACTAGATAAATTGGGCACGGTCTACCAAATGGTGATATTTTCAAATCCAAAATCACACCGGAAGTGGCTTTTTCAGACCGGAAGTTGACTTTTTTAAACGTAAACTACCAATTTTGATTACAGAATCGGATTCTACGTTAAAAAATACACAACTTTTGTCTGAAACATTTTTTGAAAAAACTTGTTTTCTACCTCTAATCTCCCATTAAAGTCAATAATTTTGGGTCATTCATCTGTCAAAGTTATTCGAAACAATAATAGAGGAAAAAAATAACAAAGATTACATAAAGACATATGATGAATAAAATCAGCTGTTTATTGTAAACACCTTAGTAATTGAATAACAGCTGGTCTACACATTGCTTGATTAAATTTTTTTTGAAATCATTTGTTTTTACATTTGACCACTTTAATGTAAAAACAAATGATTTATTTTTAAAATAAAATGAAACTAAGCAATGTGTAGACCAGCTGTTACTCAATTACTATAGTGTTTATAATGAACAGCTGATTCTATTTATCACATGTCTTTATGTAATCTTAGTTATTTCTTTTTCTCTTTTATTGTTTCAAGTAACTTTGGCAGATGAATGACCCAAAATTATTGACTATAATAGGGGATTAGAGGTAGAAAACGTAGAATAGAAAAGTTTTTTTCAAAAAATGTTTAAGACAAAAGTTATGTATTTTTCAACGTAGAATCCGATTATGTAATCAAAATTGGTAGTTTACATTTAAAAAAGTCTACTTCCGGTCTGAAAAAGCCACTTCCGGTGTGATTTTGGATTTGAAATTAAGAGCATTTGGTAGACCGTGCCAAACTTGCTAGTTCTGTATTATTTTTTGTTTGTAAGAAAAGGTTTCCATCGTTTTTAAAGGGGTGTACGGGTGGTTTTGGACACCCGGTATTAATGTCAACTATTGTTATTATTCCGTCCACTTACCCAAGTCTGACTAATGTTACCTAATGTTTACCTATAAAACACGACAAACTAAACGAGGTTGGTCACATTTGTACTGTGCAATGCAACTGTTTGATTGTGCCGTGTAATGTAAATTTCTAACAATGAATGTGAATGCCTGACGACAAAGTAAACATAATACCGTCATTACACAATAGTGATGTTCTAGGCAATTCCTTAAAGGTAGGTATAATTGGCCGTATCATTTTGCAGGTCCTGTTGTTTTTAGGTAGGATTGTATTGCCAAGATTGCTATTTGAAATACTTAGCATATGGATGCTTTGTACTGCACTGTGAATGTGAAATGGAACAAGGGATATAATTTAAAGACGGCTCTGACCTTGGCACGGTTTCTGTTGTAGAACGAGCGCTACGCAGGCTCCCGCTACAAGGAACCACTGACAAGGTTTGTTCTGGACCGGGCCAAGACAGAGGTACATGAGATCAAGTCGGCAGACAACTGGGCAACTTTGACAGGAGAGCCAGGGCGTCACAGCTGGGTGTTACTGTTGTGTAATGGACAGTCATTGCCTGACTGTCTAGCAGATGACGAGCGGACCAGGCTGGCAGCGGCTCTGGTAGGTGATGATCGATTGAGTTTTTCATCGTGGTATTTAATTATAGTAGTTTACGCAACGATTGCGTTAAGTTAGTCTTTACGACACGAGTAGAAAAAACTTCTACGAGTGTCGTAAAGACTATTAACGTGAGTTGCGTACACTAATTTACCTACGACCGTTTTTTAATTAATAACAATCTGGTTTTTGATTACTAACAATCTTTACTCATAACTTCTTAGAGAGGTTATGTTTTCGTTGATTGTCATGCCACTGAAAGTGGTGCAACGACTTATTGTATAATCAGCTGATTTCATGTAATTACGTGTTTGTAAAATTTTGTTAAATAATACGTTACTATTTTTCAGGCAATAGCTTCTGCTAGCAGCATTCTTACCATAAATACTGTATCAGGTACAATTAGAGAAATATTGCATATTTCTTTTGGACAACTGAATAATATAGTGAAATAGTTTACAGTTAGATCTCAGCATCGAATATGTGGTCCACAACGAGTTGGGTGAAGCAATGGTTAAGAGGTTTTCAAAATAAATCAGAAGCACATTTTCATTTATCAATCTAACCTTATTTTGTTTCGTCCATTTAATGAATTGCTGCCTTGCTGGTATGTAATTTCATACCTTTGTTTCGATTTTGGTGGCATAAGATTAGCACAAACAGTTTGTGGTCTCATTTCTATCTCGTAAACTTCACTTTCACTAAAACTGAAATGTTTAAATCAGTTTAATCTACCTTCCTTTAACCACCAACTTAGGTTAAAATTACGCGAGTATCAACAGGAACAAGACGGATCAAAAATTAAAATTGTCAACTGATTAGCTGAACAGCTGATTAGTTGACGTTTGAAGCATTACAATTTTACTTCTTTTCTCTCAATCCTTGAATCTCATTGGTCCGTTACCCGTGTTGTTATGAGAAAAACTATGCTGTTATGAAAGTAAACAGCTGTTAAGTGAAACTTTTCAATTCTAGGAACTGAACTGAAATGGCTACTTTAAAAAACGGTCGTAGGTAAAGGTATTTAAACCACTATCATTAGTGATAGAGTTTTGGTGAAATTTACATTGTTAGCCTTTGTAACCATTGCACAAATTGTATTTTAAAGAATCCATTTAGATTTAGAAAATGTGTATAAATAAGGCTGATCAAGACTTAAATTTAGTAAGATGTTATGGTTTTAGAAAAACTGACATTAGTAAATATATTTGCTTCATATGTGGGACATTCTTTTTTAACTTGTTACGTTTTGTGTTGATGTTATACAACATTGATATCAACCTACTGACAACACTTTTTGTCTAAGAAATATTTAGCAATGAGTACATTATACTGTAGAGTCCAATTATTGTGTACCAACTGGGACCGAATCTTGTTCGAACGAGCAGGAATTTCGAATAAGCGGATCTCCGGACTTGATAATCACGATCGTCTCGTCAATGATGTTCACAGTTTTGTCACAATTACTGGAGACGATGGTGGTGTCTCTGCGACTGCGAAAGATGTTCAAAATTTCATCTTGACTGCAAAAGATGTTTTAAATTTTGTCGAGCTGAACTTTTTTTCCCAATCATAGAAAGCCTCTGCAAATATATGTGCGAACATTTCAGCATAACATGATGATAATGTCTCTGCAGCCGCAGAAGATATTCACGATTTCACGGTGAATGCAGAAAATATGCTCTATTTCGTGAAGCTTTGTACTAACGTCTTGGATTGTAGAATAACAGGATTCGGAATATCAGGACTCTACTTTAGTGTAAGAAAGAGCTCTAACTTTGCCTGGTAAAATAAATAATTTTTCATTTCATTTCATTTACTTTATTTCGAAAATACTTTGTAATAGATTTGTGGATCATCTGTAGACAATTTTGAGGTATGTTTTTGTCCAGTAAAGGATGGGTGTGTTTGATGTTAATTTTTTTTTTTTATCAACTGTACATACAACTTGTATGAATTTATGGAATGATTGCTCGAAAACTACTAGGTTATAATATCTTCTGTTATCATAACCAAAGGGTAAGTCGTCATCAGTGCCCATCAGTGTAACCAGGAAGAAACTATCAAAAAAACAGACTTAAGATTTTACAACTGGATAAGAAGTAATTGTATTATCCAAAGTCAAAGTTACATTTTGTCATTACAATGATGCTCGTCTGTTGTAGAATGGGGTGGTGGGTGTTGCAACAGTAGAATGTCTACTAGTGCCAATCTGCCCTCAGCTGGTTCAGGGAGAGTACACCAGTACTGTCTTCTGGAGAAAGTAAGTGATCTCTCATACATTTTAGGACTCAGTGATGTAAAATGGACGAGAACGATTTCCTGTTAAACGATTTCTTGATTTCACATTTCCCAGATATCATCTGTTCTATTTTTGTTTGTTTCCTCATTAAATAGTTAATACAAATTATCTGACTTAGATCAATGTTGTTGAAGCCATTTTAAAGTCCTTTAGTTTCAATGCATGTAAAACTTGACTTCCTATAAAGTTTTATTTTTTTGTAAAGTGGACCCTGAAATACCCTCATCAGATTGAGATTAGAGCTATTGATTTGCAGGATTTTAACCCAGGCCTGTAAGCTAATATTGCACTCTATTCACTAGATCAGCCTTGTCCTTAAAGTTTTTAGTTTTAATAAAAAATATACATTTTAATGCCATTTAGACCTACCAAATATTGATTTAATAATCATTTAGAGTTGATGTTATTTATACTGAGTAAAGTGTCAGCTACCTATGTTTATCGTAACATTTCCAGGTCGCCAGACGGAGACAGTTTTGCCACCAGAATAGTGATGAGTGACAATCCTAGAGATATGGTGAAGGAAGTTTTTACTTATCTGCCGGACCTTCAACAACTTGACCCTGAAAAGTTCCATGTATGTTCAAAACCTCTTGAGTTTGTTGTTGCTATTTTAAGTATAAGTCATGGACTATGGACAGGGCAATCCTTCAAGTTTTATTTCCAACCGTTAAGTAATTATTTGTATACTAGTAGCCTGTAGGGGCCATAGCCCCTAATTTAGACTACAATACAAAAAGACCATGTATAAAAAGACAAATATTCTAAATATGTTTTTAAAATTATCAATTTTATGTTACTTAAAATTAACAGTGTTTCTTGTTTTATATCTTGGCTTCCGTTGGAGTCGTATATTAGTTGCTTCTGATGTGTCAATGAAATACAATTGTAAAATAATGATTAAATCAATAACACAACATAGTTACAAATGGAAACGTGCACATGGTTTGGCCTGAGCCCGGAGAACGACGAATCAGAGCTGAAATCATACACAGCCAAACATTGCACATCTTTTCTAGTTTAAAATTAAAGATTTGTTTTGTAATCTTACGAATTCTGTTAATAGTTTCCATTTTGAGAACCAAATGTAAAGCTTAAAATTATTATTAACTAGCTGTAACCCGCGGGCTTTGCCCCGTTTAACTTCTTAATTTTCAAGATTATCTCGTTCGCATGGCTCAATCACGTCCTGGTTGAAGTTTGTTCGCTACGCTCACTCACCTTTTGGTTGCAAATTAGCTGTTGTCATAAATGTAAAAGAAATAATAGTGCTGCATCCTGTTGGTAATCCTTGTAACTTTAATGCTATTGAACATCATAGAACAGAACCAACTTGTTTAATTGAAACAGCTGTTAAGATTCAATAATTCCATTTCTCATAAGGTTAACACGGGAAACTTCAGAGCCACTGGGGCGGAGCCCGAAAGGATTTTTGAAATAAGAATATGCCTATATGTTAATCGGGAATGTGAGCTATCATCATGCCAAATTTCAGCCCAATCCGACCAGTATTTTTCGCGTTCCTTTGTCACAAACATACATCCAAACTTTCTCATTTATAATATTAGTAGGATTATTATGAATGCAACTCCCCATTTTGCGGAATTAAGTCAGAAATATATATCTATGAATTTGTCCCTGAATTTTAAGACAGTAAGGCCCATGTTCCAGAATCTCTTTTTGTGTAGCGGAAAGTGACACAAAAGCCATTGCACTGTTGTATTGCCTTATGTTTTTTTATGAAGTTTGAATCATGTAAAACCAGTTCTTTTAATTTGTCATTTACTTGTGGTTGTGGCATGTCGATTGTGGCAACATGCGTTGAAATGTCCATTTGTGGCATCCTCTGCGAAGTGCGCCACAATGCATGCAAGTGCTTGAGGACCTAGATTGTGAGAAACAACACTCAACTCATTTTCCAGCGTTCTTCTAAAGACAGGTTGTAAAACAGCTTCTGTATTTCTTTCACAGTTAGGCCCTACATTACGTTCTCTTTAGCATTTCTTAAGTCTGTTGAATTCCTGGACACTCTTTCACGTCTTGCAGGTCTTCCCCTACCCTGTCTAGTTATTTCACTCATTATAAAAACGGAAAACAAAAAAATTAAACACAATTCATTTTGAAACATTATTTACCAACATTGACTTTCGGAATAAATGTAAACATTGCAAAAATAAGTAACAGCTGATAGAATGCAGACGTTTTTCAGTCCCCATGCATTTCTTATGGTGGATATTTTACATTATATCTCGTTTTCTGGTAACTTTATAGGAATTCTGCTATTTTTCCCGAGTCCCTGGGGTCAAGACCTTTAATTTAAGACCCCTCCTACTTTTCTGCGACTTACCAGACGTCCACAATTTTCTGGTAAAAATTTGGTCTTTCAGAATTATATATATAGACTAGCTGACCCGGCGAACTTCGTATCGCCTAAGTTATAGGTTTCCCCTAAATATCAACTTATATATAAGTAGTCCAATTGTATTACCCAACGTTATCGTAAATATCGTAGTCGTTCGTTTTCTATTTTCACGTACATGTCGACCATGAATTGTTGGCAAAGTTCACGGCACCGTAGAATGACGTTGTCATGATCGCGTCTAATCATCAGATGATACGCATAAAAATCCTTCGAGCTAACTTTCTTGTTTGTTTCGGCTCCTGTAGCGGGATCTTTTTGTTTAATATCTATGTAATATCCGTCTTGTCCCTTATACAACATTAGTGGATATTGTAGAGCGTCGTATGAACGGTGTGTATCAGCAATGAACTCAAGATTGTTATTTCTTTTGCGAATAACAATTTCACGCTTAGCTGTACGGTCGCCAACCATAATTCCAGCAACGTCGTCAACAACAGGTGCATTGAATCTACGAATGTGCTCTCCAGATGGTGTTTTATCAGGATTGATGATAATTGCGTGATTGTCGCTTTGCAATTTGTGCATGTGTGATTTGAACAATTTCAACAATTCATTGTGCTCATTCAATAAATCGTCCAGCTCGCCGAGAATACGTCTGGCAAATTGTGAATTAAGGTTATTGTATTTTAAACGTGCATCCACGCGATTGGCTTGCGCACTTTCGGTGTCCTCGCCACCCATAAAGTAAATTTGTAAAAATTTATGTGGTTCATTTGGCATAGGAAGCAATGAGCCTACTTTGTGGTAAATTTGGCCTTTGATTTTGAACGTTGTATTAAATTGTTGACCATCTGCAGCATTATTGTTAACTATTTCTGTTGCTCCGAACGATGTCATTTGAAAACATGAATTGAATGTTCTAATTGATTTCAGGAACATGTTAGAATCACGATGCGTACCATTAAGTAAACCTTTCAATGGTTCAGGTGGTGATTCAATTACTGGTAGTTGCACTTTACCTGTGGCGCAACACATCCCGGCTGGCTCATTTTTGAATTTAAGCGCCTTACAATTCGCACATTCATTGTCCATATCACCAATCGCCACTTTGGAATGATCAAAATATTTAACGTCGGGTTCATACTCAAATGCTAGACGACGGAATGTATGCGATATAAAAGCTTGATGCACTTGTTGTCGTCGTATGTCATTTTCTCTGCGTGCTTCAACTACGTATCGACGCGCTTGTCTTTGTTGTAGTCGTCTTTCTTCATTTCTTTCAGCGCGATCATCTTGTGACTGTGATGCGCGCAATTGCGACATGTTCACGCGCACAACTTCATTTTCCTGTTGAATTTGGACGTCTGTCCTTTGGGCTCTTAGATTTCGCCTTTGTATAGCTCCAGCCGTTAGACGGCCAAAATTTGACCCTCTTCGCCTTGCTGGCATTGTTCACTGTAAAAACACAGATTAAACTTAAATACTTAACCATGCATTTCAAAACCTAGCCTCTAACTACATTACAAAACCTGAATAATAACTTCTTAGCAATATAATAACAGATGTATTTGTTTTGTTTATAAATATTAAATTACAAATAATAAAAACATGTGATTTAACTTGACATCCAAATGCTCTGTAGAGCCCAAACTCCGAGAAATAATAGTGCTGCACCCTGTTGGTAATCCTTGTAACTTTAATGCTATTTAATTGAAACAGCTGTTAAGATTCATTAATTCCATTTCTCATAAGGTTAACATGGGAAACTCCAGAGCCACTGGGGCGGAGCCCTTTTAAGAATTTCGAAACGGGAAATAGTTTACTTCCTATTCGCATACCTACAGAATTTACACACCAAATTTCATAACGATCGGTGAAGTCGTTCCGGAGGAGTTTGCAGACAAACACTGTGACACGAGAATTTTATATATTAGATTATTTTGAAATTGAATTTTTGTCAGGTTGAGTGTGGCTACTTTTTAGTTTAGTTTGTTAAGTTTGCGAAAGGTTTTAAGGATTTTTGTGAGAATTGCAGGCTTACCGATGGCAAAGTGTCCACTCTGGCACATGAAACACAAACTATGCTCTATACTCAAAAAATTAAGGTACTTCACTGTAACTGGCAAAATTTTCAACCAAAGAAGTATTCTTTTCTTGCCAACAATAATTCCACAAAATCCTTAAAATCCTTAAAATCTTAGCCCTTGTGCAAAGTTATACCATACACTAAGCAAAAGACAAGTAGATTCCTCATCCCATTGTAAATTTTGAAGTTTGTTTTTTGTGTCTAGTTCATGTACATACACACTGATCGCTGGGTAGACAAAATTTTGTTTCTATTATTTTAGGGTTGTTTTCATGATTTGTGCTTTACTATTTGGTTGTATAACTAGAGGATGGGTTATTAATTATGATTATATCGTGTTATTTGGTTAAATGAGGTTTTAAATTACTAAAATAACAAGAACCAAATTGTAAACAAAACACAACCTCTACAGTTGGACGTACAGAACTAACGATAAAATTGGCTTCAGCTTTTCCATAAGGATGACTAAACCCTTAACCTTTGTGAAAAATCTGTTAAAAGTTAAAATTCATTTTGGAAATTTTTTTGTAAGTAGTATTTAGCAAAGAATTTTCCTGTGTAGGCTATTTTTATGTACGGTACTGTATTTATCTATACTGTGTTAAAAGACTGCCCAAAACAGAATGTAAGTAGACCTTATTCAGTATAATAATAAATGTTGATTCTTTGTTGTGTTTTAGGATATCATCACTCAGTTAGAGCTTGGGTCCCGGACCTCATGGTTGGTTGATTTCTCTGTTGGAGCGGACAATGAGCTTGACTTGGAAATTAGAAAACTTCCATCAATGTTAAGCGACATGCGCGTTGGTCAGTAAATCATGTTTAGTTAACTTAGCATTTAAAAATAACAAACAATGCTTTTTTGGTATGTAAATAAATATGATTGTTTCTTTATGTGTGTTTGGGGGAATTTTAAGATACAATGGTGCAATACAATTCATCCTGCAATCGAGACTGATAGTGCCTATAATTTACAATAAATTTAAAAAAATCTTACTTTTTAAATTTTTTTTATGATTTTTTTTTGTAAACATGGGAACTACCTAAAACTTATTTTTAGGGTTCAGTTGATCTTGATGATTTCAATTTTATTATTAGTACCTATCTAAAGAAAATTGTTGGCAGTTTTTTTATACAACAGTTGAACAGTTTTAGCATGCGAGCAAATCTTACTCATCTATAATGTAATTTTTCCAAGCGAATGAATAATTGTATGATTTTCTTCAATAGGGTCAGCAATTCAGCTATAAAAGAAGTTCAAATTTTTCAAGTTGAATTAAATACATTTGAGTACCAAAAACTCTTTAAGCTGTACATGCCAAGGTGTCAATGTTTTGGGTTTTAATTTTAATTTATAACTACAGGAAAAAAGGAGATTTCCTTAAAGTGGTTATAAACTATGTAGAATTTTTTTTTATAATCTTGTGAGTTCAGAGGAATTATACTTTGTTTTGTCACAGGACGTGTAAATTGTGCCCGACACCGTCAGCTGTGTGAGGACTATTCCATCTCCCGCTACCCATCCTTTGCCGTGTTCAAGCCTGGAGGAGGTTACGAGTTCTTTCATGGAACACCGTCCGCCATCAGTGTGTCACAGTTTGCCAGGGAGAGTGCCAGTGCTACCAACCTACGCACACTCTCACAGCAACTCTTCCCTCAGCTGGTCACGCAGGCTCAAGGTTGGCAACACTGGTTGTTCTTTGTGATGGATAGTTATTAGTTCACAATCCTATAACCTCAGATATTAACGAATGCAAGATGTAATAAAGATCAATATTGCTTATTTTTGCAAGAATCTAGAAAGAATATTTAACTAAATATGATAATTATACCTGATGAGTTATGAGTGTAATGTGGTTACCGGTACTAAAATTTTTTTATAAATTGAAATGTAACACCATGCTTTACACACAGACCTGGAATCCTTGTAGACAGATAAACTCATGTTAAAGATAATGGTATTTTAAATTGTATCAACTTTTTTTTTTTAAGGGAGAGGTGGGAAAATGCATTTATGCACACAGGTTGCTAGCCTGTAGTGTGGGACTCCAATGGGCTTAAGGCCCAGAGACTACCCACTAAAAACCTCCTCTACTCTTCGGACACTAGCCTGGGAACACTTGTCGCACTTCATCAGAACTAGGCCGACTTTGCCTACGCCCGAGGGGCTTACGCCGTGTCTAGCCGTTTATTTCTTATCAAATCTAGACTATGTTCCGATCTAGATCGTTCTTTTTAGCTTGCAGGACATTCCGGACAAAGTGCGACCAGCAGTCCCAGTTGTCCTCACCCTTCAGCAAGGTCTCACAAATCGATTCAATCGACAGCACCCCAAAATGTTGAATGGCCTCCTGGCGAAGCATATCCCATTGTGGACAGCGGAAAAAAGTGTGTTCCGCGTCGTCGGGAATGCATGGGCAGTAAATGCAGTCAGGTGAATTCGTTTTGGCCATCAAGTGCAGGTACGACTGAAAATAGCTGTGACCTGACAAGAACTGCGTGAGGTAATAGTCAACCCCACCGTGCCGCCGTTCCACCCACGGTTGGACCTGTCTGATGAGTCTGGCAGTCCAACATCCTCGAGTCTCCCTTTCCCAGCTTTCTTTCCACATCTGAAAAGTGCGGGAGCGCTCTTCTGTTCTTGCAGCGTCCCTTCCGATGTAGCCTTGTCTCTGGTAGATTGCCTTCCTCTCCAAAAATTGTATCAACTAAAGATAGGTTGGTTGCCGATATCATTAGTTTGGTACAGGTTTCATTTTTTTATGATAAGCTTTAGATTTTTCCCCTTAAATTACTTATTCAAATTGAATTTTTCTTCCTACTTATGCAATGGTAGTACACTTGTTTAAAATTGTAACTTGTGCTTTATGTGAAGGCCATTATAGTTTTAAGATTAGGTAGGTGTATTAAACGAAACATCCCCTCTTGTATTTATTTTTTTTAGGGATGGACGGGTCCCGAAATTTCGGGAATTTTTCGGGAAAAAAATATTCCCGATTATCGGGACGGGATTACATTTGACTCGGGAATTTTTCGGGACGGGATTTGGTCCGATCGTCGGCGATTTTTCCGCTTCGCGAGTGCCGATAACGCCGTTATTGCGAGCGATAGGTCCGCGAACGCAGGAGACGAAGTCATACCGACGATCGCGCCGTGACCGCGGAGTCCTACGGACGATCGCGCCGTGACCGCGAGTCATACCGACGATCGCGCCGTGACCGCGAGTCATGACGACGATCGCGCCGTGACCGCGGAGTCATACCGACGATCGCGCCATGACCGCGAGGTCCTACCGACGATCGCGCCGTGACCGCAAGTCATACCGACGATCATGCCGTGACCGCGAGTCATAACGACGATCGCGCCGTGATCGCGGAGTCATGCTGACGATCGAGCCGTGATCGCGAGTCATACTGACGATCGCGCTGTGACCGCAAGTCATACCGACGATCATGCCGTGACCGCGAGTCATAACGACGATCGCGCCGTGATCGCGGAGTCATGCTGACGATCGAGCCGTGATCGCGAGTCATACCGACGATCGCGCTGTGACCGCGAGTCATACCGACGATCGCGCCGTGACCGCGGAGTCATACCGACGATCGCGCCGTGACCGCGAGGTCCTACCGACGATCGCGCCGTGACCGCAAGTCATACCGACGATCATGCCGTGACCGCGAGTCATAACGACGATCGCGCCGTGACCGCGGAGTCATGACGACGATCGCGCCGTGACCGCGAGTCATACCGACGATCGCGCTGTGACCGCGAGTCATACCGACGATCGCGCCGTGACCGCGGAGTCATACCGACGATCGCGCCGTGACCGCGAGGTCCTACCGACGATCGCGCCGTGACCGCAAGTCATACCGACGATCATGCCGTGACCGCGAGTCATACCGACGATCGCGCCGTGACCGCGAGTCATGACGACGATCGCGCCGTGACCGCGGAGTCATGCTGACGATCGAGCCGTGTTCGCGAGTCATACCGACGATCATGCCGTGACCGCGAGTCATACCAACGATAACCCCGTGACCGCGGAGTCATACCGACGATCGCGCCGTGACCGCGGAGTCCTACCGACGATCGCGCCGTGACCGCGAGTCATGACGACGATCGAGCCGTGTTCGCGAGTCATACCGACGATCATGCCGTGACCGCGAGTCATACCAACGATAACCCTGTGACCGCGGAGTCATACCGACGATCGCGCCGTGACCGCGGAGTCCTACCGACGATCGCGCCGTGACCGCGAGTCATACCGACGATCGCGCCGTGACCGCGAGTCATGACGACGATCGCGCCGTGACCGCGGAGTCATGCTGACGATCGAGCCGTGTTCGCGAGTCATACCGACGATCATGCCGTGACCGCGAGTCATACCAACGATAACCCCGTGACCGCGGAGTCATACCGACGATCGCGCCGTGACCGCGGAGTCCTACCGACGATCGCGCCGTGACCGCGAGTCATGACGACGATCGCGTCGTGACCGCGAGTCATACCGACGATCGCGCCGTGATCGCGAGTCATGACGACGATCTCGCCGTGACCGTGAGTCATACAGACGATAACCCCGTGACCCGCGAGTCACAAGTTACTATAGGTACCTGGAAATTGTTACCCATTTTTTGGTTTTTATAGATCAGTGCCACAAATGGTAAAAATTGATTTCGTATGTCTTTTTTTGGTAACTGCAATACAGTACTTTCTTTTTATGCACGGAAAAAAATCCCGTCCCGTCCCGTCCCGAAAATTGGGAAGGAAATAAAAATCCCGTCCCGTCCCGTCCCGAACTAAAAATTCAATCCCGTCCATCCCTAATTTTTTTTCATTGGATGTCTTGCCACAGACAGGATACATGATCATCCTCTTGCACAACTAACAGATTTTTGTTTCAAGTTTATTTTTAATTTTAAAAAATTGGTTAGTTTCTTAAAAATGTGTCCTCCGAGTTTAAGTTATTCCCGGTCTATCAAATATTTACGACATGACACATTCCTACATCAATGTTATATCTGTCACAGATGGGGACAGTGCGTGGTTCATAGACTTCTACGCGCCGTGGTGTCCTCCGTGTCTGCGTCTGTTGCCTGAGCTGCGTAAGGCGAGTCAACACTTCTCTCCTGTAGTGAGGTTCGGCACAGTGGACTGTACGATACATGCGGCCCTGTGTCGTCAACACAACGTACAGTCGTATCCTACAACAATGCTGTTCAACCAGTCCCGACCTTCGCAGACTTTCCGAGGCGAACATTCTGCCAGCAGCATAATAGACTTCATTCAGGATGTCATCAACCCTAGAGGTAACATTTCAGTTGTGTAGTATCTTTGACTCTGGACAGTGTGGATAGAAGTTGACATTTCCATGATAAAGTTTTAGCAACAAATTAAGGTAGTTAGACAAAAGCACTGATGTAAATCGATTTCTGTCAATTTTCTGCCTTTTCTGTCAACATTTAAATTTAGCTAAAAACTGAAAGGACTACTTTTTGTAGACTATAGCATGTTTTATGCCACATCAACAGGAAAAACCAGAATTTGCTGCCAGGAAAATGTGTAAACTTTTTTTCCAGGAGTTCTGTAGCCATCCTGCTATTTATAAATTTTTTGAATTGTTGTTTTCTCCTATTTCGTAAGTTTGTGTTGCAGTTATAAAACTGACAGAGGAGACCTTCTACACATCTGTCGGCCGCAAGACTCCAGACTCTGTGTGGCTTGTGGACTTCTTCATGCCTTGGTGCGGGCCATGTCAACAGCTGGGACCTCAGTGGAGGAAACTGGCAAAGGTACTCACATAACCTGTTACTGTTGCCTTCAGCTGGTAAAGTTATCTGTTGTATGAGGTCAGGTTATTATACATAGTCCGTTCACAAAATGCAGGTTTAAGGGAAAGTACCCCTACTACTTTTTTTGATTAATGTGTGTTACAGCTGGTTGACATATTGAAAACCTCAGCTGTTGAGCTATTGCTTTAGAGGTAAGATCAAGGAGAGGGGATGGATTTCTTCCCCTAAAATCGCTTAAATTTTGTGAATTGTAAATAGTAGACATATTTTCAAACCACACCAATATTTATAAATCAATTACTCTCAATGTGTTAATTGGAAGATTAGGTAATCCAAAAGGGATATCAGAAGACAAAAAATATTATAAAACAGTTTTCTTTATAATTTTTTTAGGACCTCATGGACCTAAGTCCCACGCTCTAACCATTAGACCAGTTCGCTCCCCACTATTAATCAGTAAGAGATGGAACTAAGGGTTCAACCAAAAGAATTATTTACTTACACCACACCTAATTCCAACTATACCCAAGAATATATTTTAACCTCTCCAACTAAACATCTCCACTTCTGCTGATTTAGTGCGCCTTCTTCATTGGGTCTTGAAATCTGTAAGTTATTTTATAACCCCAACAGTTTCTTTCTAATGTTTCTTTGGTTTGTCCTCAGATGGTGTCAGACATGGCGAATGTGTTTGTTGGAGAAGTGAACTGTGAAGAAGAGACAGACTTGTGTAGACAACAAGGGGTCCACAGCTACCCCACCATCAGACTGTACCCCACGGGCAGTACAGGGTTTAACACTGTAGCGTAAGTTAACCTCCATGATATGTGTGGAGTTTATGTTCAAATACATAAAAGAATAACTAGTGAACCTTTCTTCTGGTTTTAATAATACTGATGGTCATGAATCTGATTGATTTGTCACCAATTTTCAGATGGAGAAAGATTTCACAAGATTTTGTTATCTTTTACAAGAAATGGGTTCTAACAGGCTCTATAGAATTGAGTTTATATCACCACACAACAAATGCACATATAGGATTATCTCTTTGACGCTGCTAATAGTTCATAGCAATGAAGAATTACGTTTTCCTACAGTTACCTAACAATGTACATGTTCTCTCACTGATTTGAGAAAGCAAAGTGGCCAATTTGCTCATCAGTGAGACAATGTTAATATTGTCTCACTCTAATTACTTTGTCTCACTCCAGATTTGCAACGTGAAGGCACGAAATAGTGAGCACGTAACATGCAGGCAATGTCGTATGCGCGCGAAATACGTTGGCAGCACTGGCTGTAAATCAGCTGGTCCTAGCTGTTGTACTGTATTTTTCACTTCACATTAAATATTATATTAAAAGTTCACTTCTGTGAAAAAATAGGTTATGTTTCTTGACCAATTTATTTGTTTTATGGTAACTGTAGGAAAAGTATAATATGCAACTCGAGTTCAAAGTACAATTGCCTCACTCGAGAAAACATTCCTCACTCGCCTACGGCTCCTGAGTAAGGATTTCTCTCGAGTGAGTCAATTGCTCACTTTTCTCACTAGTTTCACAAATAACTATTGTCTTAGCTGTAATACATAGCCTTTTTAAGATTAACTATTTTCAGTAATCACTAATCACTCATTGTGTTTGATAGTAAGTGTGGTAAGCGGGATGCACTCAGCACAAGAATCCTTCTCTTATATAACTTACTCTCTCTCCTTAGTTATTTTGTTCAGTCATTTCAACATTTGATTGTCGTTGGATTAATTTAATACCACTTGCGTCTAGTGTGACTCTAAGTGTTGTTGGAAGCCTTTCCCTCATCCCTGTCACACGCAATCCTGATTGAAATGGTCCATACCAACACAATATCTCTAAATCCTTCGTGTCTATGCAGGATGTACAGTGGTTATCACAGAGATGCCAAGTCCATCCGCCAGTGGCTGTTCAACTTCCTACCCTCGGCCGTGGTAGAGTTGACATCTGAGAGTTTCCAGGAGGTTGTGGAAGGCTCGGACCCGTGGTTGGTGGACTTCTACGCTCCATGGTGCGGCCACTGTCACGCCTTCGCTCCGGAGTTTACCACTGTCGCTAAGGTGGGGAAATCAGCTTATAGGGACACTGTTATATGTTTAGATGTATAGGAATACAGCTTAGTAACAATGAGTTAACACTAGTAACAATTAAACATTTATCATGAAGAAAAGGTAGCAAAATGCCTGATTGGAGACAAAGAATTCCTCCAATTATAACTGCCGCTTGAGCTGTATACCGGCCATGTTATGTTGGCCTCTCCCACCAAACTCTGCCACATATAAGCAGGTGAGTTGATTAAGACGGGAGTTAAATCTTCATACAGTGCTTACCTAAAGCTGGTGACAATAGTGGTGAACCCTAGAGTAGCGGTTAGAGTGCAGCACATGTCAAGCACAGTTTTCAACTATTTCAGTTAAGTTATACTTGCGTAACTAGTTATAAAAGTAGGTCTCGTTTTATGTTACTTATCTTATAACGCTTAATATTTGGGTCTTTTAGGCATAACAGTTGCACCTATTTTCAGAAATTGGAGGGTAGAGTGAAGTGCGGGAAGGTGAACTGTGACAGCCACTATCAGGTGTGTCAACGCGCTGGAGTGTCTGCGTACCCAACTGTGCAGTTCTACCAACCGCAGTCTCACAGTGCGCGAGGTGTGGAGATCACTACACAACAGGCTGACAAGATCATCAGCTTCGTAGAGGAGAGACTGAGGCCGTCACAAACACATGATGAATTGTAACTGTGATACTAGCTGTAGATGAATGTGTCAGTGTGTCGGTGCACAATAATGGTCACATCACACATAGGCTAAGAGTGAATGAGGTTAGATTAGTGATCCTACAAATTTGGTCTTATACTCAATTTATTATTTTATTGAAGATGAACATACTTTTATGTGAGCTTACGCGTTGCTTATAAAGCATACCAAGTTCATGCTATAAATATTATACTAATTTGTTAGAAGATTGATACAAAAGACAGTTGACAGGCCCTCGTTAAAAATTAGGCATCTACTTTATTTCTATTCATATTTTGCTTTAGTTTAAAATTCCTTATTGCTTATTTATATGCTTGAAGAGCAAAATATTTTTTAAAGTTCTTTGCCTTTACAAATTTTTAGCCTTAGTAGCTTAGGTTTTACAATTAAAAGTCAAAATGCACTTGCTACTTTTTACTGTTTTGTGCTTAATGACATGCAACATTTTTCTAACGTCTAGTCAATTCTATATATAATGATTTTGATATTATGAATTTATATTTTCTGGAAAGTGTAAACATTTTTATTGCTGAAACTCTTGCATTAGGGTATAGCTTGTTTTAATTCTGTTTTAAGGGGGGGGGGTTGTTTTATTTCATAATATGAAAACTACAGTGTGCTACTACTAATTATCTTTAAGATAGAAAAATGATCCTAACATAACCTAGTTAAGAGTGTAGACGATAACGTCATAAAATTGAAGAAATTAATCATATATATTACATATTTAAAATTTGTGTAAAAATGTAGTAAGTATTATTGCCACACAAAATTATTGACTTGATTACAAATATTTAGTTTTATAAATTTTCCCTGATATTTGAATCAATCGCAAACATACACATTAAGTTAATTAATTTTCCTAACACTTCGATCTTTATTTAAATATTTAAATCAAGTTTAGCAGCCTCCTTAAAACCTTCACCTTGCCAGTCCATATGAGCCCCTGGGGCAGGTCTACGTGAGGAACATATCAAGCAGTGCATGGGGTCAACTGGTACTGTACTGATCAATTCTAAGTGACTGCACTAAAGCACAATTGCACAATTTCTAGCATTGATTATAATTGCAATGCTCTTCATTACACCAACTGAGCCACTGACTCACCCACAACAAGAGGTTAGTATTATCCTTAGAAAAAAGTGGCATTCTTCCTGCCTAAAGATAAATTTAGTTACATTTTATTGGATTCAAATAAATATTTGAGTTTTAGGTACGGATTGCTTTGTTGATTTGTGCAAATTATATGGATAATGTTGCCTTCTACAGGGAACAATCTCTATATTAAAGATCTTAATTAAGAGCCATTTACTTAAGGTATAGGAATCATTATTATTACCATGCTATCCTTAAAAAAAATGTAGCTTTTTGTGTTGCTTCTCTTGAATGATTTTACTGATATTTATTGTGATATTATAGTGTAAGAAAGTATGAACAACTTTTTAACCCTCCAACTGGCAATGAATTTTCAAAAGCATGACTGCAAAATCGCCAAAAATGCCTTGCCATGACAGAGTTTGCCCATTGCCAGTTGAAGGGTTAACAATGTATGATTCCTATAGATACTTATGTTGTATCTAAGTGTGTTATTTTATCTTTATATATTTTCATGTCTTCTAGAGCTTTTACTTTGTTAAGTTACTTTTACAACTCATTTGTGTTTTTCACAAAAGGTACAATACCTTAAATTAATTATACATTTTAGTATTTTAAAGCTAATCAGTCATGTACGCTTAGTTTTTTTCAGGCCTTCCCAAAACTTTTTTCAATGATTCAGCATATCTTTATGTGGAGACTTTGATGTGATCAAAATATAGTTTACAATATATTTAGCTAAGGTGAACTCTTAAACCTGTCTTGAAAGTAAACTGTAAAAGAGAAAATATTTACAAAATAATTTTATCTCTGAATTCAAAGACCACTAATTTTTTGGAGGTACGGGTAGTTGATTTGGAGTTGGTACTTAAACTTAACATCTTATGACACTACAAATTTATTTAACAAAAAAATTAATGTTCGGTGACAACTCATACAAAAACAAGTATTCAAATTTGTGTACTATGTAATATTTAATTTGTTCACCAGTATCTTCAAGATATTTTAAAACACTAATGTTGTATTATAGTTCCTTGATTGATAATGATGTAAATAAAAATGTTAAAACCACCAACACTACCTTACCTCAATCCCTGATGATTTTATTTTATTTCTATTATTATTAATTAAAAATCTAGAAATGACACAATTTATAGCACCTATCTACTTTTTCTTTTGGGAAGAATTCAAAATGAGGATATGGGACCATTAAAAGTCGACAACCTGACGTTTGAGAGAGTGTCCGAATTTAAGTACTTAGGAATAACAGTCAACTCCAGTAACAAAACAGAAAATGAAATAGAAAAGAGACTTATCACGGCAACTAACTGCTTTCGAAGCATGTCAAAAATCTTAGGATCCAGATTACTGTCAAAATCCACAAAAATTAGAATTTATAAAACTATTATCCAACCAGTTCCCTTATATGGATCTGAGGCCTGGACCCTAACCAAACAAAACGAAAGGAGATTAATCGTCTCTGAGAACAAGATATTAAGAAAGATTTTTGGCCCTATAAAAGAAAATGAAATATGGCGGATCAGGAAAAACAGAGAACTACGAGAACTCTACGAAGACCCAGATATTGTAGCTATTGTTAAGAGCCGAAGATTGAGGTGGGCAGGGCACATAGCGAGAAGAGAAGAAAACAGTCTCCTGAAGATAGCTACAAATGGACGACCACGAGGGACCCGACCACTAGGAAGACCCAAACTACAATGGGGAGACCAGGTGCGGAAAGACCTTCATCGCATGGGGACATCAATTGACCGAGCAGCAGACAGAAAACACTGGAGGCAACTTGTTGGCGAGGCCAAAAACCAACTTAGGTTTGAATGGCCAAGGAGGTAAGGTAAGGTAATATACTTTTTCCATTAACTAGTTTTAATGTAACTAAGCTGCTAATAAAATTAGTTAGCCCACATTGCTTTTAATTGATTAATGATTTTGGAAAAAAATGTTCCAAATTCTATCCTTTTACTGATGATCTGTTAGCATTAAACCAATGCAATCGCACAACAGCTCTTACACAAATTTTTATAAGTTTTTTAGTGAAATATCAAGGTAAAAAACATATCGTCTTTTAGTAAAAAAATTTTTATTAACGTAGTACCTAAATAAATAGCTACTTTACACACAGATTTACACTTTGGTCTCTGATTTACACATAAATAGAAACAGTTTCTGGTTCATAAGGTAACTTGTGACTGAAGAAATATTTTAGAAAACAAAACTCAAACTGTCGACTTTTAAAGTTCTTAAGATTGTCCTTAGGGATATTTTCAACCCCTGTAGTTTGAGTAACCGTCGTATCCTCCTCTGTATCCTGAGTATCCTCCGTAACCACCATATCCTCCTTTGTTGCCGTAACCATAATCTCTGTCATAACCGCCGTACCCTCCTCTGTATCCACCATATCCTCCGTAACCGTCAGAACCATATCCTCTGTTTCCGTAGCCACCATACCCATAACCACCAGAGCTTCCATAACCTCCGTAGCCACCGTATCCACCATAGCCGCCTCTGTTGGGATAGCCACCATATCCATCGTAACCGCCTCCATATCCTCCGTAATTTCCTCCATATCCTCCATAACCGCTTCCGTACCCTCCGTTGCCGCTTCCGTATCCACCATATCCGCCATAGCGATTTCCGTAGCCTCCGTAACCTGCAAAATAAGTCAGTGTCTAAATTAATTTACCAGATTTTGGTGTTCGTTATTTGTTTTTTACTATTAAATTGTTTCTAACATAACAACTACCTGATAACATGTAAAAAACAATGATAGATAGATAGATTTATTTGATCATTGTAGTGTTCCAAAAAAGACTTAGTATATAAGCAATTCAAAAATTACAAAGTAGTAAGTAGTCTGATTAAAGTGGCTATATTAATTATTTTATTTTTAAATTGCTAACAATGTGCTTTCAAATCATGCGAGTGATAACATGTGCCTAAAATATCTAAGTGTTCCACATTTAGAAATCAGTGTTTATGCCTATATTCTCAAAGTTTTAGCTTGAAATGTTATTTTCAGGTGTGACTGTGAGTACAATGACTGCATAATTTAATCCTAATACTTTGGAAATGAACATAGTGGTCATAGTGCTAGTATGATGAGTGATTTGGTATAAGTGATTATATAGCTAGAACATTCTGGTGCCAAAATGTGATTCAGTTATGAAACTTTAACCTGAGTTGTAATAAGTTTGTCTACTAGCTGGCCCATCGTACTCTGAAAATCTTCCAAAACCTGCAATTTTTTTAAGATTCACAATTTATAGGCTTACTCTAAAATACAGTTCTAAATATCAGATTTTAATGGGTTTTTTTCAACTGTGTTGCCAGTTCATTAATTTAGTCACAAGACTAGTTCTTCACTGTGAACCATAATTTCTAACTCAATAAAATTCCAAATCAGTTCAACAGAAACTCACTCTGCTTTAACACAATCGTTCTTCAACTTTTATTATTCATGATGATAACATTTCAATAAAATAAATAGCTAAATTCTATTTTGATGGCAAAATCTACAATAAACACATTTAACCGATGGTAATTTTAATTTTTATGAAACATATCACAATTCAATTCATGAGAGCACAGAATACCTCAGTTGAATCGTACTCAGTGCCACTTATCACTTCCACTGAAACTCGGCTCAAAATGTTTCTTTCATTTTTTTTTGTGTTGATTTTCTTTACATTCCTTGTATTATACACCTGCTGACCCAGTATCGTACATTTTCCACAAACGTTTCTGTGTGCTATGATTTTAATAAAAGTTAGTAGATCATTGATAGTATTTGTAGAACAATCTCAATCTAATGATTTGATGATGGTTTTTGTTTTGGGATAAATTGTTTAATTTATTATATATTTTTTAAATTTTATAAAACGATTATTCTAAAAATCTACAAACCTGAGCCGTAGCCAGGTCTACCGTAAGGGCCTTCATAGCCCCCGTAACCCCCATAGCCTCCATAGCCTCCATAACCACCATAACCACCATAACCTGGAACATAAATATTATTAAATAACAAAAATAGGTTTTAAAACAACATTAACATCTACATGAAAAATCAACCCATAATCTCTCATGGTGCTTTATGACAAGTTTAAAATTCATTTTAGGTGCAAGTAAAAAAAACCAAAATGCTTCATGGACAGTTTGAGTAGTTTCAATCAAAACTTTGTGCCTGTAAACAACAGCAACATAACAGTGTTTTATTTTTCTATTTGTTGCATTGAGAAGGAAATATGTTTAGAAATTATTGGTAATCTTTTTATTATAACACATTGATTCTAAAAATTGTGCTCTAGTTGTTTTCCAAAATTTGTATCCATTTCTTTTACTTAGTACAATCTATTACTTGCACCTTGTTCCTTAGTACAAATATAAAATATTATTTTTCATAGTCTGTGCCTTCTTTCAACAAAAATTAAGTAAACACCAGCACCAGATGTACTTCTTTTGTATTTGACATTCATTAAGGTACTTGCTCACTCACTACAGTACAATATTCAGTACATTCAGTGCATCAATACAGTACCATTTGTTTGTGAAATATATATGGACATGCTCTACCAAACACCATTATAAACACATTTTGTTAAGTTTACTTAAATTTCAATGTAATTGGAACATTTTTTTCTGGAATATGTTTAAAGGAAAATGTTCACCCAAATGTCAATGGTTTGGTTGGTAGCTCAATAGAAAGCTAGATGGTTTGTTAGTTGTTGTAATGACCAAGCAATGAATGACTTATGCACCTATGAAAACATCACAAGTTCCCAGAAAAGCCACACTATATTACCCTTCTAAAAACCAGGTTTACAATATTACATGCTTTATTCAACGCTGCCCATCAATTGAATTAATACCTCCCAAACTTATGTCTAAACAGTACCTATCTATGAAACCCATATTACTTAAGAAGGGGTTACGTTTCTACTAGATGAGTAAATAAAACCACAATCCAGTAATCCACAAACATAAATCTAGTCAAATCACACCATCCAGTTTCAATCATCCCAAAAATTAATTTTCCATCCCCATTCCAAATTTATTGTGAATCAAACGTTAACCTCCTGGATATGGTCTGTGATGTGGATGGTACGGGCCATAGCCGCCGTAACCATAATTAGGGTACGGGCCGTAACCGTAACCATGGTATGGGCCGTAACCATAGCCTGGGTAGTCTGGACCAAAGAACTTTCCTGTAAAATCAGTCATGGCTGTCATGATCTTAGACAGTTACTAAATTATTTTGTCATTCAATCCAAACTCATCCTTCAGTTATCTTCACTGTAAAATAGACTTGGCTATGTGGTGAATCATTGCAGGTTCATCCTTGTATTGGGGGGGGGGTCTTTTAATTTTCCAATCTTTGCAATTTTTTAAGAAAATAATTGAATACCATTTGCTAATGGGTGAGGATGCAGAAGAAAATAAATTACTCCATGTGGTTATTATACATACATTCTACTGTAGTACCACTTGGTTTTATAAAATTCCCTTTTCACAAGGCATAGCCTGCGGGGATTTAAGGGAATTGTCTTGGCATCATGGACTCATAATCTAGGTGTCTAATTTCATACAATTTGATTACTGTAGTTTTTGCTTTCCCCCAGAAAAAACAGACAGAAACTATGGAGTTTAGATGTCATGATACCACCTGTATGTTATGAAATAAAAATAGTTGCTCATATCATATATATATATATATATATATATATATATATATACAGTCTTTATGATTTAGCTTATCAAAAAATTACACTGAGCGTGCACATCCAGTTCAAGTAATTAATTTTATACATTATGAATACAAATTTAAAACAAAAATACAAGCTTTTGATAATAATTTACCCTCACACACCCCCCTTCATTTACTTACTTTATTTAAACTTTAAAAACAATACACTACCAATCATGTTGATACGGTTGTATGAAATTATACAACCATTCAATTGAATAATAAAATTGACAAGATTTAACATTGTGAAAATGCATATACCTATTTCCCTACACAAGCAGTGTATAGATTAGTTTGCCTTGCCTAGATAAATTCCAAAAGAAAAACCATTACCGTTGTTAGTTAAAGACAACAGAATTTCAAGAATAATTTACCTCCTCCATATCCTGGCGAAAATATTCCAAACGCTGAAATATAGAAAATAAATTTAATTTTCTTAAAAAATTTAGTTTTCAAAAATACACTCTGAAAACAGATATTACCATTTTAAAACACTTTTATGCGCTTAAACTCATTTTTTTACCATTACACATTGCAACTTTATACCTATTTGTTTATTTTAAAGTGTACTCTACAAAAAAAAAATAACCAGCAAAACGATAATAGTTGGCCTATTACAGAATTTCTATTGAATTGTGGCTTTGTTGATGAGCCTGGTTAATTTGAAATTTGTATAAGTGACCAAATAAATTTTTAACCGAAGAGTAATGGGAAAAGGTTCAAATTTTACTCCCATTAATTACACAACTCTAGGGAACTTAAGAAACCATACATAATTAATAGATTGACACTATTTTGTAAACTGAAAGTTGAACTAATATAAATTATACTGGTACTAGAGTTTATCGTTGTATTATTCTTGTTTCTGGTTTAAGCATGAAAATATAAATATTACGCATAAGTAAAATCAGTTAATTGTGGAAGACACAATAGCAGCAAAAGTGACTTTTTATTCTCCAAGTATCTCAGTTCAGTGAACTTTTTACTATGGAGATGGGAACACTATCCAAGGCCTTCTAGAGTGTTTTTGCATGTCGCTCACAGGATGTCACAGTTTTCTAGATTATCTCGGCCATTGTTTTGTTATGCAACAAGTTACAGAAAAGACTCCCATAAACTTCTTTACAGTCTTTGTGTCCAGTCCGAGATCAAATGGGTAGAAAATTATTGAGTAATTTCATGATTAGGTCTATAGTTAAACATTCTGTTTAATTTGTGTAATAGTATATTACGTTACTAGTCCTGAAAATAAGTGTTTACCGGACGAGTGTGGTCGTTCCCGTGCGAGACGAAGTCGAGTACGGGATTACCATACGAGTCCGGTAAACACATTTTGGACGAGTTACGTACGATAGTTTACGCCATACTACTTAATTCGTACAAATCCTTATATATTTCCACCAACTAAAGGACTAAACATCACCACTCATAACCTCTAAGAGAGGTTATGTTTTGTTTATAACCAATCATTGCCACGCAAATACAGTATAATCAGCTGATTGGTGTCCGGTAAAACTCATTGCAGCTAACAGTATTACGCAATGAAACCCCATTTGAATAAGCTGGCGGCAAACAGCTGTTTTCTGGACTAAATCCTTGCGTGGGAAGTTCGTCAAAATAATGTAGTGTGGCGTAAAATTATTTACGCCACACTACATTATTTTGATGAACTTTCCACGCAAGGATTTAGTCCAGAAAACAGCTGTTTGCCGCCAGCTTATTCAAATGGGGTTTCATTGCGTAATACTGTTCTGCAATGAGTTTTACCGGACACCAATCAGCTGATTATACTCTATTTTCGTGGCAATTAGTGGTTATAAACAAAAACATAACCTCTCATGACTAGTGATTTTTAGTCCTTTAGTTGGTGGAAATATATAAGGATTTGTACGGATTAAGTAGTATGGCGTAAACTATCGTACGTAACTCGTCCAAAATGTGTGTACCGGACTCGTATGGTAATCCCGTACTCGACTTCGTCTCGCACGGGAACGACCACACTCGTCCGGTAAACACTTATTTTCAGGACTAGTAACGTAATATACTATACTGGATCGATTTTTATTTTAAACAATTATAAATTTTTGTTTGAAGATTTTTATAGTTTATTGTTTGTTGTTAAAGTATTTTTAAAAGTTTGTTGTTAAAGTAGATTGTCAGTTGTCACGAGTTACTCGCATAATAAAGATAATAAAATGGGTTAAAATTTTGGAACACATTTCCAAACAGCATCCAATCATCAGGTTCACTTGCTGTACCAGTAACATATTTTGCCCAGATTTATTTAATATTTTGTGACATCCCTTCTATTTAAAGCCGGAAAATTGTGTTATCATGTTTGAAATTATTAGAAAAATAAATCTTAAGAAGAGTACTGGACAAGAATATCTTAAGAAAATCTATAAAAAATTGGTTTGGAACTAAGTTTATGTAACTTTTCTTTTTTTCATCAAGATTTCTGTTAATTTTTATATATATATTACAGAGCATTTTTGCATGATGGCTTTGTTGATGACCCTGTCCATGCACAGTGACCATGGGAAGTAATTACTGATGGATGGACATCTAGATTATTTACCTTGATAGCTGTTGTCATATATAGCAATAAATAATATATCAGGATTCCCCACAAACAATAGTTAAAATTGCACAAGTGAAAAATCTGTAAGTTAACACATTTTTATCTGGGTTTTTAATCGTTATTGATGGTCCAGATCTTGTACTCTTGGTGAGACAAATACTAAGACTTCAATACCATGTTTTAGGCCTATTAAAAGGTGAAAATTATATAAGTTTATCTCCAATATTTTAGTTAACAGACAGATAATAAACTTTACAATACATTTTCAATTAGGTAAATCCAACACTCTTACGAGCAGTGAAATGAGCTATAAAACTATTTTAAAACCCGTTAAAAAATCAAGGTGTGCCATTTTAATGTAAATTTTAATTTAAAGGATAAGATTAGTTTTATATCATTAACCGCAGAAGAAAGGGACTTGTTGAGCATATACGGGTAGAGTGGTTTGCTCAAATGATAGTTACAAAAGAAATAACGTAGAACTAAGTACAATCAGGAATGGACATCAGGAGTTTTACATTCCAACTGATTCTCTCAGTGGGGCCAAAGACCAAGTTACATAGTATAAGTATCAATAGAAGCACCTTCTTTTCACTTTTTCTGTGTTTTTATTCAGAATCTGTGTAATCCGTAGGTGTTATTCTGATTTGATTTCTGTCCTCATACCCACCAACAATGGTAAACCATACAATTCATCAAGCGAGAACTTACTCCTGGCAGTAGACTCTGAGGCGTCTGTCTTGAGATCAGCTGAGTCGCTACTCCTGGCCTCCTTGGTCTCCTCAGCTGCTGCAGCCACTACCAGCAGACATAGCAGCGCTGCCACCTGTACAATAAGTACAAATAAAAATCACAACCAATGATTATGGAAAAAACAATTTCCCTAAATACTGTACAACTATACGGCAGATAAAAAATAAAAATGTAGTTTTATTTAACTTAATGCAAAAACAAAACTGGCTGGAAGTACTGTATAGTGTTTTCAAAACTGGCTCTAAACACTAATTATGGTGGATTGTAGGGGGGAGGGGGGCAAACATTGAACATTCTTTTAAATCTTGCTAAAAGGACCAGTAGGTAGGCCTATACCAGATCGGGTCCCAGAAATTGTGAAATATTTCACTAACTGAACTTCAGGTTGTATTAAATGTCACCAAGTACTGTAGCAAGGGGCAGTATATTCTCAATCGAACAGTGATAACAACATTATTTCGTAGATTATGGAATTTTTGGTGGGGTTAATGATTTTGGCTTTTTTTACATGAATATGTGTTAATATTGCAATCTCACGTGTTTTCAAGGTTTGCAAGATGGAAAATTTAGATGCTAGGTTTTGTGATTAAGCTAAATCATAAATTATAATCTTCACTTCCGAAGCTCAAATTCCCGAGTTTGTACAGTTAATTCAAGATACACAATAAATTACATATCAATAACATTCATACTCTACATTGCTTCATACCTATTTAAAACAGTAAGTAACTTTCAAAAACCAGTCACCAAACGAGCTCCCAAAACGGGAAAAGACATAAAAGTCGTCATCTAGAGCGGGATAATTAACATTTCGCAAATGAGTGGAGAGCGGCGACAGGGCAACACAGGGGCGTAGTTGTATACTTGTATAGAACACTGGGTCAGGGCAAGGGGCTTCCTACGTACGATGGGAGTTTATACGAAACTCCACCATTGGTCATTGACCAATCAAACCTGGCCTTGGCTAGCCACCCACGACGTACAAGACAACAAATACATCATAAGGTGCCGATAATAGTCAGATTGGAAGAGATTTTAACTTTTGATGGTAGGTTCTAGGGTACCAATATGAATATTGACAATTGTGTAAATATCTTTATTTGGCTATCCCTTAAAATGCGGTAGTGACTGATTTCGACCCAATAGCCTAATCGTAGTTTTTCGTTTGTTAAAAACGACGGTCTTTATCTTTGCTCAATAATTTAGGATTTAAATTTATACGGGCTAACGGGCATATTAATTTTGGAATGGAACTTAGCTGTAGATGACGAATATAGGATGTCCGCGTAAGGGTAAAATATTGCTCCGATTATGACCGAAGGTACAGTATAGTTCCTCAACGCAAATCAATATGGATTGCTAATAGGTAGTTTACACAATTAATTGACAATATTAATTTATGTACCTGTTTTTTTTTAATCACAAAATACGCAGAATTGTCAAAGCTCGCAATACGTCAAGCATTCAAAAATAGTTATGAACAAAAAACACAAAATACAAACTAAACATAAACTTTGAAACGAACAAAGATTAATTACCTATAGGCCTACCGCTTGCTGTAGTAGTCATAGCGGCATTCTATCGATGGAAATTTTGACTACACACGGAGGTCAGAAGGAAGCATTTTTTTGTCAATATGCTGTATAATATAAGTTTAAAGGCTATAAAATATGTTGTCATGATTTTATTACGTCACTTTAACTACGTTCGTTGAGAAATTTAAATTTTTAGCTTAAAAAAGTACTAAATACGGTAGCTACGTGTACCGCAAGTACTGTCATGTTATACAGTATTTATAAAGGAAAAGATATTTCAGGTTTCTGAAATATCGATTAAAGCATCGCTATTTATGTAAGTAAAGAGTATATTTTCTATTGCTGTATTAAATTATTATGTATGTATAAACGTTTCCACGTTAACTCTAAATGGATGTGCACTCAATGGTATTCCTTGCTCGCGTATTCAAAACCAACTGCTTTATTTGTCGCAATTAATCCACAGTATGGAGTGAGAACGTTTTATGTAGTTGCCTTTTCTGAATGTTTAACTTATTTTTATTTATGTTTAAAATCTTTGGCCAAGTATGAGACGAGCCAAACCTAAGCTTCACAGAAGGTTCTCTTAAAACTGTGTGATAACAGAGTTGATGAATTATGCATTTAAAACTAAAACACCCTATTGTGTGAATATCACAATTTTTTTGTAAAATTGAAAACATAAACATAACTTTAAACAGTTCTACTTTGACTGTTTTTATTTAGATTGTTCAGTACACTTTTAACAATTTACAAATAAACAAAGAAAGAAACACGCATAAAAAAAGTTTCACATTTATAATATTAGTATAGTATGATTTTGCCTATGAATAAATCTTCTTTCTTACTAAACAATTACAAATTGCCTCTATATAAATGCATATAGCGTTACGTTATTTTAACAATAAAATTAGCTAAAGCAAAATGTTCCTGTAACTTTATAAGGTGGATTCATAATTACAAAGAATATTTAAAGCAAGCAGATGCTTCGTACGTTTTAAAATAAATGTCAAAAATTTCAACTTCATCAGAAATATGCTACGGTACTTAAATGTTGTATAACATTAGTGGATTTTCAGCTTTAAAACTGTAATAATGACTTGTTTGATGTTGTGTTAAAGTACCGTTATAGCGATAGCATATCTACAAGCTACAAGCGTTAGCGTGATCGATTGTTATCAGAAATATCAGCTTCCCGTGACCTTCATGGTCCTCCATTGTAGTGTCTAATACGGCAATACCTTCATTGTTGTGTCTAATATCTTCATTGTTGACCGCAATTAATCTGCCGAATTCTCAAACACTGTCTGTTAAAATTGAAAATATGCCAACTACATTTAGGAGGAATGAACCGCCCGTGATTTTCTTAAACTGAGTTATATATCCTTTACAAGTACAAATATGAAATAACATTTGCAGTAATAGTATTTTTCATCACGAGGAGCTAAAAGGCTGCTGAATCGCGATGAGCTTGAAAATATGATTAAAAGAAGTAGATAAGATTGTAGAAATAAGATTGGATATAAGTACCAAAAAAATACACTCTCGCTCCGTGTTATGAACAACTATTTACACCATACTGTGTAAAAACCCTTCTAACCTTTACAAAATTAGATCAAATAATTTGAGGCTATACAAAGTTGACATCAAGGTTTACATTTCTGTTGTTTACAAACAAAGCTTTAAATGTCGTTTATTAGCAGCGTATTCAATGCACTGTTAAAATTGTTGAATTTAGCGAACCAAATAATTAACCATATGATTTTTTTCTGTTCCCTATATGAAGTTACTCGAAAACGATGATTTTTGCAGACGATTTAGAGAACTAAAATCTGCTGGTTTCCGGACTGTAAAAATGATTACATTTTTTTAAATATAGTATTTGTTTATCAACTAGCTCCTTCCTATTTAAAATGCATAATTAGAGACGTATTTTCAGTGCTTTGTTCAATCAAACACTTTGATTAGTTTTGAAGAAACTTTTATCGAAATACAGAATTGTTTACATTATAGTTTGACACTTATCATTGAAACACCCCTTGACCTCGTTGTTAGTTTACGCAAGTAGCATTTTAAAAGAAAGAAACTCAAATTCTTTTCAGACAAAGCGGTCCAAACACCTTAAAGTTTTGAAGATATGCAGGGAATCGAGCCCGTCCTGCCGCTCACTTCGCAATCCGGGAACCACACGCCTGTTTTCTGTGTTTAACATCCACAGAGTACAGAGAAGTAAGGTAAATGACATGTCTCCACATGTCTTACTTCTCTATGATACAGCCTTTTGGTATTGACAAACTCAGTCCAGCCAGATAACATTGACTTTTGATGCACTGTCGGCATGCACAAGGAGTTGGCGCGGACAGTAGCTTCAAACAATGAGTTACGGTTTGGCAATGATGCGTGGGACAGTGTAAAGTTTGGCACGTGTTTCGCACTTAGACACTTAGGCACTTAGATACTGTAACTTGCTGGGCTAGTAGCACACGGAACCGTTGTGAAGTGTATCGATGAGCTGAAAGATGAACAATGATTTGGTAGCTTTTTGTTCCCTTTTGTTAGGTACGGTAGTAAAATAGCTACAATAATTAATTATAAACAATATAATACCCGTTAATTATTGAACTATTGGTCCTGACAATTAGTACACGACGTATACCGAACAACAAATGAAAAACTAAGGAAGAAATGGGACAATTAAAATACGGTTCGGGTGATTAATAAAGTACCATCGCCGCAGTAAACCAGCAGACCAAGCGAATTTCCATTTGCCTGATTTGATTTTCCCTTGAATATATTTAAATAGCATTAGGTTTAACGAGAACCTAGGTTTGCTGCTACAGGAAGGGTAATAAAGTGTGTTTTAGTAAAACATTAAAAGCTTAGTGTAAAATATAAATTTGCCAAGTTTGATCAAAATATTTCCATAAACAAGCAAACAATAACAGTTTAGCCTACTTATTCTCCATAAGAATAGGTACCCCGGGAATTTTAGATTAACGTTTTTTCCCCGTTACTAATAACTGTACAAAACACTTTAATATACTAAATTATTTGGTTTTTTTTATCTTCATAATGACTTAGAGATATTTATGTTTTGTTGGTACAAAATTAGAAAACCAAATTTTTTATCCCATGACAAAACAAAGATCGTACTCATGGTCCGATCATGCTGGTTCGCGAACTCGTTGGAATAACTGTGGGTTTGCACGTGTGTACCAAATTTAATCAAAATCGAAAGGTTTTTGCTCCAGCCGGGTCAGGTCTTACCATGAGACCTACGGTAATAGCTTTATCCCTATATGAAAAATTCGCCATAACCGTCCGGTGGGCGTTAAAAATAAAGAGCCTCAAAGAGTTAAATAACATGTGTGTTATTAATGAATACAATTTTGAAAAAAAAACTCGCCCTTAAGGTGTGAAATTTACACAGAGATTTCGAAGGTTGTTAATTTACTACAGTGATTAATTATAAGTTCTGTTTGGACAAATGCGTTGACATAGGAATATTTTTGTTGAGTGAAAGGCCGCTCAGAATCTACGCGTGGGTAGATTTAAACACTTCATCTAAACTGCGACTGTATCTGTAAGTGGGTCTGTATGTTAAACCTGTGTGTATACAGGGAAACTCATTAACACTAGATTGGGTTAGATTCGATTTTTTAAATGCACTAATCTTTTTTTTAGGTTAAAAATGTTAGCAAATACAATATATGTCAACCAAATATAGTTACAATAAAAAACGTTATTGTTGTTTAACTAAATTAACAATTATATTCCTACACCACATTTATGTATATTTTACAGTATTCTAGTTTTATTTGAAAACAAATGTATGCAACAAACTTTATTTCCTAGAATATTACTAACTATTCAATTTCTTATATAGCGATTCATAATGAAAACGACATTCCACACGCTATGAAGGTAAGGAATTTGGGATTTAAACAATTCCTAATTTCCATTCGTTAAAGTCTCTCAGCCAATTTTATGTATTTTTAACAACACATTTGTAACCAGCCTAAACCATTGATCATATATTTTATATCAAATATATCTACCATCGAGATATTATATATATATTATTACAAATATTTTCCAAGCATGCGTACAAAGTCATGTTTTATCAGTTCAGTTTTATCCATTCATGATGGAGTTTAGGTAATTAAAATTTAGTTATAGATCAAAGATATATTTTTAGACTTAATAAAAAAATCATTTATTTGCCTACCTGTCTCGGAGCGAAGTACATGGTATCCAGTATACAGTCCACAAGTACCATGAGTGGTCGGGAGGACAGTTTTATATGATAGCCTCAACAGCCTTGGGCCCCCCCTCCTCCATAGTGTATACTGATACGTGCATTTGGGAAACTATGAAAACTGATACATTAATAAACTAGGTGGCGTTCGCAGAGGCATCCACAAAATTGAGCGGAGTCATCAAGGGTTCATATTATATTGTTTTTGTCATACTGCAGTAAAAACAGTAGTTGTTAATGCATGCGTTGCGGGTCTAAAGTAGCATTTTAAATATTAAGGGTGTAAAAATAGTTGTTAGCCTCTACGGAGTAAAAATCAGCTGTTGTCAATTCAGTTGTAAATTTCGATTGTAAACGATTGCATGTATAGAAAATATGTATCGATTCGTGCTTCGTAATCATTTTAACATAAGTTACAGTCTACAGTCTCTTTCCGTAGCATTTTAGCATTGCAGATACATTAATCCATCCCCAAACTCAACACTGCTCACCTTTACTACATCCTTCACCACACCCTACGTCGTGGACCTGTTTCCCTCTCTTCCCATAGCATTTTAGGATTGTAGATACATTAATGTAATTGCCAAAGACAGTTCCCACGCTCTGCACTGCTAGCCTTACTACATCCTTCACCATTTACTACGTCATAAACCTGTTTCCTTCCTTTCTCATAGCATTTAAGTATTACAGATACATTTATCTAACTGCCCAAACGGTTCCCCCACTCTGCACTGCCAGCCTTTACTACTTCCTTCACCACATCCTACGTCGTGGGGCCTGTTTCCTTCCCTTCTCATAGCATTTTAGTATTAAGGATACATATCAATCTAACTGCCACAGACGGATCTCACACTATGCTGATGCTCATACTTTACTACTTCCTAAGCCACTTCCTACGTCGCGGACCTGTTTCCCTCCCTTTCCTTAGCATTTTAGGATTGCAGATACCTTAATCTAATCGTCATAAACAGTTCCCACACTCCGGGCAGCTTGCCTAAACTACTTCCTTCACCACTTCTTACGTCGCGGACCTGTTTTCCTCCCTTCCCATAGAATTTTAGGAATACAGATACCTTAATCTAATCGTCATAAACAGTTTCCACACTCCCGACTGCTCGCCTTTACTACTTCCTTCACAACTTCCTACGTCGCGGACCTGTTTTCCTCCCTTCCCATAGAATATTAGGAATACAGATACCTTAATCTGGCTGCATCCCGAAAGCCACGAATGTTTATGGATATAAGCTGGGGAACGAAAGCCACGACAATTAGTGAAGGGTCGAAAGGGTTTTAATCCTGGGGCCGTAAGCCACGACTACGAGCCAGGTAGACTGCTGTCAGGGTGGCAGCTCACAGGGAGAACGGGAAATTTAAGCTCCCTGTTATTTACAGTATGCGTCGCAAGCAAATTCGTCAATCGTCAGTTCAATCTGAATCCGCCGTGCTATAAAGGTTAGAAATATACCTTTGAGCTATACTACTGTTTCACTGTTTGTTTTTTTATTATACTGCCTGGTTAGTGTGCTGTAGTTGTTCACTCATACAATTGCAATAATTAATTTCAAGCAAATAATAACTCGGGATAAGCCATTACCATAGATAGTACGGTAAAACCTAAACTCTAAACCGTTTTACTTTTTCGGTTTTATGTTCTCAGAGTGCAAATTGGTATTAAATCTACTCATTTATTCAACAAAATTGGTTATTAACGTGTGACGGACGATTACTGAAGGGAAATAAGGAAGAATTAACCACCAGGATCATCGGACTGATCACTTTGAAAATATCTTAAAATCATGTTTGTTGCTAGAATACTACTCCAGATGTATAACTTAGGTTTACAAGTTTAAACATAATTTTTGTAATAGTAGGCTACAGTTAGTTCCACCATAACTGCTTTGAAAAGTTATATACAAATTTAAGTTACATAAACACCGTGTATGATGTTTTACACCGTGTATTATGATACTTATAACTCCCAGCGCCCTAAACAGTTACAGGCTCTCCTCAAATTTCCAGTAAAAGGTGTCATTAAAACTTGATGTCATGCATATACATTTCTCTACAAAAAAAATTAAAAAATTTCGTAATTCACTTCAACAGCTTATACTTGACATAAACGCCAAAAACATGAACTACCATTATACAGCAATTGCATGATTTTTACATTTTTAGTAGGTAGGCTATAAGTAGGAATGAACGGGATTGCACTTATCAACAACTTCTAATCTTTTTTCTTGAGCACCCATGCAGTTAAAAAAAAATAACTCCGCACAATCTTCTCTGGCCTTCACGTTTTGAATGTTTAGGCAAAACTGATGCAGTGATGTGAAATCCTAAATATGCCGAAATTTAAGGGTGACGCAGTATTCTAATGACTAATTCCAAGATACCTCCCTCTATGTGTTCCTTTTGTAATCAGGTGTCAACAACCCTAAGCTATGATGTAACCAACCTATCCCGTAAAAATATTACACGCACTGGTATATAGTACTGGTCCTTTAAAGTAAAATTATTAATGCATAAATTTATAGTTCAACCCAAACTATGTTAACCACATCGTGCATGCAGATGCATAAGAACGGCTGTTACTGAATTTGCCTTCTTCATCGACAGAATAATTTTCTGATACTTAACTTGGTATCTGATCAGAATTTTTTAAAAAAATCTGTTTTTTATTTTTAGAAATTATTAATTTGCCCATTTGTATAATACTATGCTATAGTGATACACAGTGAGCAATATAGCAACATAATTGTTGTGTGTAGGATGTGACAATTAACCAAGCAAAAATATTGACGGGTGTTTCATTGGTTAGCTAATACTTATGAATAAATGTAATAGTTTGGATTTTTGAAATAAAATACCAATAATAGTCACAGTTATTGTTTAACAAAAGTAGTGATAGAAGATATACCACATAATTTATTGCATTCAACATTACAACATGTAAAACTAAACGTGTATTGGACTTCCGTGCCGACGTAAAACCTTGTATAACTTAAGTTTTAAGTATAACTTGTATCGTTAAATAATCATATTATCTTCCGTAATACTCAATACAATAAGGGTTTTCGTCATAATAAAGCAAAAACACCCATATTTATACCTCATTCGTTGCGGGTCAAAAGTAACATTTTTATTCCATAGGGAGTAAAAATAAGTTGTAGCAAACAGTTGTAAATTTGGATTGTGACAACGTATAAAATCAAAATGATTAATTAGGTAAAGATTTAGCCTATTGTTGCATTGTTGACAGTAGCTAGACACATCGATGGTATAATGTACTAGCAGAGTACCCGACCTTCGTACGGGGTTGGAATATAAGTATAAAATGTTTATTGCAGTTATGCTCATAAGCTTTCTGTTTGCAATGGGGAAGGACCACAGTTTGATAACATTTGCTTCTTTAAACTTAAGGTATACTATAGTATTACACATCTACCTTAGCCATAATGTTCTATCACTAAATAATTTATAAACAAACAACTTTTTTAAACAAAACGTTTTTAAACAAAATAATTTACAAATAATTTATAAATATGTGGAGATTATAAATACTTGTAAGATTTAAAACGAAAAACGTGGGGTGCATGCAATTGATAATAATACATTAGTTCAATAGGTGAAGGTAATTGTAAATTATCTATTGCATGCACCCCACGTTTTTCGTTTTAAATCTTACAAGTATTTATAATCTCCACATATTTATAAATTATTTTCTACTTTTTAGTGCGTTTAAAAACGTTTTGTTTTAAAAAAAACTTTTTTATTTATAAATTATGAATACTTATGAATACTCGTAAGGTTAACATAGGAAACTACGGACCCACTGGGGCGGAGCCCGAACGGATTTTTGAGATAAGAATATGCCTATATGTTAATCGGGAATGTAAGCTATAATTATGCAAAATTTCAGCCCAGTCCGTCCAGTAGTTAATGCGTGATTGAACTTCAAACAAACAAACAAACATACACACAAACTTTCACATTTATAATATTAGTTAGATTGTAAACATCACAATATTAATACAAGAAATTATTTAACTAACTTTATAAACAGCAAATTATTTACGTTAGCAGTATTGAAAACAAGTGGGAAGTTATAAAATAAGGGCCCCACCTATTGGTATTTTACATATTGGTTTAACAATACATACAAATTTATCTATTTACATATTTGATACTGATTCAACAGGAAAATAAACTAAAACAGCAACAGAATTAGGCCTAACTAAGTTATTAACAGTCACAATATACATAGAATATGTTATCGGGGTTACATTTGTCTGCCCCTTCATTATTTTTAGCTCTTACAACTGTATTTGAAAATCCATTGAAACCTCATCAAACAGCTTTAGTGAAATATTGGCGTCCATCCCTGCATATTATAATTGCCATGTTCATGTAAGAGATTCCCGTTTCTCCCTCGCTCCTCCCAACTACCTGGCCCGCCGTCGTGGCTTTCGTCCCCAGGATTATAACTTCTTAACCCCTCGCTAATTGTCGTGGCTTACGTCCCCCCAGCTTATAGAGATAAACATTCGTGGCTTTCGGCCTGCGCCCCTTAATCTAATCGTCATAAACAGTTTCCACACTCCAGACTGCTCGCCTTTACTACTTCCTTCCTCCTTCACCACTCCTACGTCGCGGACCTGTTTTCCTCCCTTCCTATAGATTTTTAGGAATGCAGATACCTTAATCTAATCGTCATAAACAGTTTCCACACTCCAGACTGCTTGCCTATACTACTTCCTTCACCACTTCCTACGTCGCAGACCTGTTTTCCTCCCTTCTAGTAGCATTTTAGGATTGCAGATACCTTAATCTAATCGTCATAAACAGTTCCCACACTCCGAACAGCTTGCCTTGACTACTTCCTTCACCACTTGCTACGTCGCGGACCTGTTTTCCTTCCTTCCCATAGAATTTTAGGAATGCAGATACCTTAATCTAATCGTCATAAACAGTTTCCACACTCCAGACTGCTCGCCTTTACTACTTCCATCACCACTTCC